AGCTATCGGATGAGAGAAAATCCAAAACGTGCGCGAAATACTAACATACCAATGCAATGAAATAGAATCCTAAAAGTGCACCAGATACTAACATAAAAATGCAATAAAATAGAATTCTAAAAGTGCGCAAGATACTAACGTAACAATCAAATGAAACAGAATTTTAAAGTGCGCGAGATGCTAGCGTAACAATTAAATGAAAAAGAATTCGCAAGAGCACGAGATGCTAAGGTATCAATCAAATGAAAAAGAATTCTAAAGTGCGCGAGATGCCAGCGTAACATTCAAAGGAATAAGAATTCTAAAGTGCGCGAGATGTTAGCGTAACATTCAAATGAAAAAGAATTCTAAAGTGCGCGAGATGCTAACGTAACAATCAAATGAAAAAGAATTCTAAAGTGCGCGAGATGTTAACGTATCAATCAAATGAAAAAGAATTCTAAAGTGCGCGAGATGCTAGCGTAACAATCAAATGAAAAAGAATTCTAAAGTGCGCGAGATACAAACGTAAAAATCCAATTAAAGAGAATTTCAAAGTGTGCAAGATTGTAACATAGCAGTCCAATGAGAGAAAATCCTAATATGCTCGAGATACTAACGTAATAATCCAGTGAGGAAGAATCCCGGAGGTCGCGAGATACTAACATAGCAAACAAATTATAAAGAATCTTTAAAGTGCGCAAGATGATAACATAACAATCCGGTTAAAAAGTATCCTAGAAAAAGTAAATAATTATAACATAACAATTGAAAGTAAGACAATCCTAACAATTCACAAGATACTTACGTAAAAATCCAACGAAAAACGTAGCGTAACAACTCAATGAAAGAGATTCCTGAAGGTGCGCAAGATACTAACGTAACAATCCAGTAAAACGTGGCCCAGATACCAAAGTGGCAGTAGCATGAAAGAGAATCCCAAAAGTGTGCATGATCGTGACATGACAATCAAATGTAAGTCAATCCTGAAATGCACGAGGTACTAACATAACAATCCAGTGAAAGAGAATCTTAAAAGTGCGCAAGATCGTGACCTAACAATCAAATGTACGTCAATCCTAAAATGCACGAGATACTAACATAACAATCCAGTGAAAGAGAATCCCAAAAGTGCGCAAGATCGTGACATAACAATCAAATGTACGTCAATCCTAAAATGCACGAGATACTAACATAACAATCCCGTGAAAGAGAATCTTAAAAGTGCACGAGATACCAACGTAACAATAGCTAGAAGAGAAAACTTAAGTGCGCAAGATAATAACGTAACAATCGAATTTTAGTCAATCCTGAAATGCACAAGATATTAACAAGACAATCCAATGAAAGAGAATCCTATCAGGGCACCAGATACCAACATAACAATCGAATGAAAGACAATCCTAACAATGCACGAGACACTGGCGTAACAGTCGAATTAAAGAGAATTCTAATGTGCGAGATCCGAGCGTAACAATCCAATGAAAGAGAATCCTAAAGGTGGTGCGTAAGATACTGACGTAACAATCCAATAAGAGATCTCTAAAAGTGCGCGAGATACTCGAGAGACGAAAGGATGAAAGAGAATCCTAACTGCGAGCGAGATACTGACGCAACAATCCAATGAAAGAGGATTCTAAAACTGCGCAAAATGCTGACGTCAAAATCGAATGTAAGTCAATGCTGAAATGCACGAGATACTGATGTAACTTTCGAATGAAGGAGTATCCTAAGTGCCCGAGATATTAGCGTAACAATCAAATGAAAGAAAATCCTAAGTGTGCGAGATACTAGCGTAATTATCTGATGAAAGAGAATCCTAAAAGTGCACGAGGTACTAAAGTAAAAATCTTGTTTAATGTCTTCGTTAGTAAATATATAAGGGGAGCAAGGATGGTGTGATCCAGTTAGTATAGAAAAGAAAGATATATAAATGATTGAAAAAGAGATTGATACTCAATCAATGTAATGAGAATCACTCGCTGTTGCCCTTAAAGTCACGTGCTTCCATAAAAACTGTCATGGCGACTGCTTTTTGTGATTCTTTTAACAATGTTTTGAGTAATATTCCTTTGCGCACTGCACTCTGCCATTTGACTTTGCTACGGGAACAACGGGAAACAATGGGAAACTCTGAATTTCTATCAAAAATAGCAATATTCAGGCTATTTACCTTGCGAAAAGACGTGACAGTTTGTCATACATTAATCCTTGACGTCGAATTTGAACTTCACGGTTAAGCAGCTTCGAAGAAACAGACACAGGCTGCTGCACGGAAGATGCCATATCCAAAACAATTTGGCTTGAAGCAAAGTGTATACTGACATGGAGTGTCTAGCGAAGACGCTAAAGTTTCTCGCAGTTCGTGAGCTCTTTCCACGTGCAAGAGTTAGAGTATAAATGAATATTAATGTTGAAATAAATATTTGAAATTCAAATGAGTTTTCCAACTTTCAAAAGGGGAACGAAAACCACTTCGGTCATTTTCTCTCAATTGCAAAACGAAATGGGTTGACACTGATTTTCAACTTGTTCAAATTCAAAAGTTCAATATAAATAAGGAGCAAATATTGTTGTACTGTTTGAAAATACAAACTCAAACTCAGGCGAGCTCAGACTACACGACGGTTTTTTTTTTCTTGGTTTCCCCCTGGCATTTGAAGCGAGCGGGGTTTTACTGCATTGAAATCTGTACCTGTGCAGGAGCAAGGGGCTCTAGACCCGTTTCGATGTACGAAAGGTGCAGACGAAAGAACGGCACGGCAGTGTTCGGACACTTTCCGATCGGATAACGGGAAGTTTTTTTTTCTGACATCGATAGGAATTACCGCTAGGGCCTTATGAGTTGTTTTATGAAATATGTACGAAAGACTTTTCTCAACTTTTCTTTCTCTTACATCGTTCCCGGGGCCGTTTCCTGTTCCAGAGGCGGGAGAGAGAGATAATCTGGGGCCTGGGATGAGCCATTCTTAGACGAAGGAAAAACCGCCATCAACAACAACACTTAGAGGTGAACTGGGGCACGTTTACATTGCACCATGTCAGGTTGAACATACATATTCTCTATACTATCCTCTTTACATTTCTTAAGGAACTGACAAGGAGAATTTGTCTGACAATCATGAGCTTCTCTAGTCAGTGATCATTTCCTTTATTCTCGTGATCTAAATGTGTAATTCAGGGGTGATATTATATGGAGAAATTAGATGCTAGTCTCTCTTAGAGGGTTAAAGGGATAAACGCAAGGTTGAGCCATCCAACAAGCCAGATGACTCACCCTGCCCAAGCTCACTGAGGTTTCAGTGGCATGAGCTACAAGTAAAAATTACAACTACCTTATGGACAGGAGATGAGTAGGGGGTTATAACCCTTCCCTCCCCTCACTCCATCGTCATCCACTCCTCTCCTGGGTGGAGAGAGTCACTGTGGAGGTGTCTTTGCCAACAACACACGGTGACACGGTTACGACTTCACTTTTTCCTGCATATTCTCTAAAATTTTCTCCATTTCCTAATGCGCTGACGAGAAGATCGTTTATAAATCAAGAGCCACTTTAGTTGATGATCATTTCTTCTATTCTCGTGGCTGTAATGTGTGATTCAGGGGTGATATTGTAGGGACAAATTGGATGACTGTCTTTCTTAAGGGTGTAAGGGTTAACCCTGGTCATTTTCATCCGCTTTCCAGCGTACTGGACAGAAGATTCCTTCAAACCCCCTTATAAAACACATCAATACAAACAAGATTTGTACATGATTAGAAAATTTAATTGCACATAGCAGATCAATCACTGTTCATTTCCTCTCATATCAATCATCTTAATACCGATCTAGGCAAGACTGCCTAGTGAGACTAAAAATGGCTAAAATTAATTCACTGCAACAGCCCTCAGCCACATAACAATCTATACAAATACAATATTTCAAAGCGCAAGAAAAAAAAACCTAGTTTTTATTGTACATTTGTGTGAGGAAAGTGGAGAAAATAATGAAAGCAAAGTGAGAGTCAGCTTTTCTGATCAAAATATAAATAAATTCATGAATAGAAATAGAAAGAACAAAAGACAGATAATATTTCAATTTCAGAAACCAGCCAAGACATATTATGTTTTGTCAGCAAAACAATCATTGATTTATCAGAGTAATTGTTAATCAGGATTCATTATTTTTACTTAATGACGGCAACCCCGAGGTGCTCTACTCAAATTTCTGTATACACAAGCGACGTATCACTAAAGGAATCAGGTTGAAATCGAAAAAAGGTTATGATGACAAAGAATTGCCATTCCCATCAAATAGCTGTAAGAAATAAAATACGACAGGTGAAGCAGGATAGGTGCCCCTTTAATTAATCTGTGTGAACTGAATCTCCAGTTCTCAGAACAGCTAGAGTGGTGTTTCTTTATCTGAAGCCCTCAGCTTGAAAGAAAAACTAACAAAGTGCCAAATCCTTCGCACTTTGTAGGTTCAAAAAGAAGTTTATTAAAAGACAAGTAAGAAGAAAAAAATTCCCATTTTGTGCAAACAAGCTTAACATTAGAAACTGTGCATAAAAACAATACATCTTGAAAATGTATTTGGTTAGCAAACGAAAGTAAACTACACAAAATACTTGTCAGCCACGACTTTCTAAATGCTGCTGTTTAGACTAGAAATTCAAGTGACAAATGCTCTAGCAAACACTTCAACCAAGGGATCGTTGTTGTTGTTGTTGTTGCTATTGTTTTCTTTTATAAAGCATCACAAAGAACAAAAAAGCAAAACTGAAATGGCTCTACTATAAACAGCAAGCTTACATGACTATAACTAACACAATGCACGACACTATAAGTGGTAGCTGATTGTTGCCTTTGGACAACAGTTGCATTGGACTTCTTTGTACCCAAACTATAATATGAGCTGCCCTACAAATGGGCAGCAGGGTTGCGTCCAAAGAAAAAGCATGGGAACCACAGCTGTCTAAGATAAAAAGTTCACAACCTATTGTACAAGGTTGAAATTCAAGTCATCAAACCAGTCTTCTTACAAGTCAGTGTCATACCACGTGCCGCCTCGAGGAGGTGGCCCTCCAGGGTGAGCAAGAGGTTGCATGGATGGATCACCATGGTGGAAATCGTAACCAGAACCAGGTTCGTGAGAATAGTCCATGGGCTGGTTGTAATCAAACCCGTCATGGGGGTAACCATACCCTCCTGGTGGCATGTTGTAGTTTGGGTCTGGGAAGTCTCCATCCATTGGCTGGAAAAAAAAAACAGAAAGAGTGATCAGCATTGGTTATCAAAAAACTCTGGGCTAGAAACTTTCTTGAGCTGTAACATTTTACAAGTGAGCTCTATATATATAGGGCTATCCCTGGTTGTTCGAAGAGTAGGCAATGCTATCCACTAGAGAAATTTATACCCAGTGGATAACGCAGTGCGATCTACAAACATCACTTGACTGAATAGTGGTTTATTCGCTGGATAGCATTATCCACGCTATGAACAACTGGGCCTTGATGGACAGAAAAACTTGCTGGTTACCCTGCAGAGTTTTGCTATTAACTTTGATAACGAGATCAAAGTAGGAAAAACAGTGAAACCACAGGAAAACATGACACCCACTGAGTGGCATGAAACATTTCTGGGAGTTTTCTTCAGCAGGTTAGCAGTTTTTCTGTTTTACTCTGTATCTCAAAGTTACCAAATACTTCAGCATTGATTTTACAAAAATCTTAACCATTTTCCTCCCATACCTCACAATTCTTATAATGTTAGTTCAGAGAATTTTGTATCAGATCAAGTAATAATCCCCTAACTGATATTTTTCTTTATTCTCATCACTTGTCTGTATGATATTGTTTTGATGGTGTAGAGAGAAATTCTGTCTTGGTCACTCATGGGGGGTAAAAAAATATTTAGAAAACATATACAGTACAACGAGAGTGGCTTCTCACCTCAGGCCAGGGAGCATCATCCCGGAAAAGAGAACTAGTCAGTTCAACTGATAATCTCTTCTTGTAATCTTGCGACTTATCCTCAGACATGCGGAAGAGTACAGCAGCAGCATAAGCAGCGATGCCCTCATTTCTGGAGTGTAACAGATCAGTTAAGGGTGCTGTTGCATTTTCAGCCTCAATAGCCTCAGCACCTTCCTTGTCTTGTGCAAGTTCGCAGAGTACTCCAGCTGCAACACGCTGAATGTTCTCAATTGGGCAATAGAGGAGCTGAAAAGAAAAGATGAAGATGTTGTAATGGAACTGTCACAAAATCAAGAACTTTTTTGGACAAAGTACAAAATGTGTTTGTGTAATGTAGCTATGATTATAAATGAATGTATAATCGTTTGTTTCAAGATTAAGAATTAAGTGTCGATTGTAAAGTCTAGGTATATCAAAACATATAACTTCTTCTTGAAAACATCTATACATTATCCAGCAAACAGGTAACCAGAATACTCAAACTTATCAGATACAAGAAGCTTTCGCCTTGATCTAATGCTAATTTCTCATAAATAATTTCAAAGGAAATGTGTAGCAGTTAGAGTGGAGGATTAACAATAAGATCAAGAGTTAAAAAGGGTTAAGACTTTCTTCAGTAACAAAAGTGACCTGTAAATGTCATTCCACCTAGATTAATGGAGTGAAGTGTGTGCCATATGAATCTAAGTGGAAAATATGCAGGGCAGATGGAGAAAACGAGGTGAGTATGATATCTGAATATCACTGGGTTCAAATAGAGGGGGCAGTTCTAAATCAAACCTTCAACTCCCAAGATCTGATTATTAATTCTCCCCTCTAAATGCTACACATATCCTTGTAAATTATTTATGAGAATTTGGCACAAGATCAAGACAAAAACTTCTATCAGATAAGTTTGAATATTCTCATGACCTGTTTGCTTGAGAGTGTAAGGATATGACTGGGAGAAGTTTCATGTTGATCACTTCTAGGTGTTTAAGGGTATTAAAAAAAATTCCTAGAGAATTGACCAATCATAGTGCAAGTACTGAGGGATTTATCAGGAAATAAGTATAATTGTTACAAGTGGTACCTGCACAAAAAGAGGAATGCAGTTGAGGCTTCTTATGACAGCTCTGTTGTGTGCCTCTCTGGCCAAAATATGCAGGGCACCAACACAGCCATCAACAATGTCCTCCATTCTTACACCGTCAATTACCACACTCTGTCCCGGTCTCCTCTGCATATCCTGATGGGCTCTCATCATCAGTTGAACGAGCTGAGGCAGACCTCCATGCTCACGGATTGGTGTGTGATTAAGGGGGCATAATGCCAGATTGCGCATGAGACCAACAATTGCTTTGATGAGTGGCCAGCGAGAGGGTGGATACAGAAGTTTCACCAAGACTGGCAGGCCAAAGTGAACTCGCACAGCATTTTGGGCTTTCTCAGCATCTTCATGTCGACTTGTCAGGTGGCGCAAGGCACAGCACTGTAAAAGAACAAGTAAGGTTTAGGAAATTTCAATGGATGATTGGGTTGCTTACAAAAAGCTAAATCAATACATCAAAGTTACTTAGTCAAAAAATGTTTCAGGGCTGTGGTTTCCAATATTCATAAATTACCAGTTTGATGCCAAAAAGTAATTCACATCTTATTTCTCCTTAAGATATCATCCTTGAATCACACATTAAGGTCATGAGAATAAAGGAAATGATCACCAATGAAAGAACATCATGATTGTTAAACAAATTCTCCTTATCAGAACCTTAGGAAATGTAGAGAGAACAGTATGGAGAATATGCATACTGATGTTAGGATGGAAAGGGTTAAGAAGCCAGACATCTTACCGCTGGCTCAGTGATCTCTTCCCTGTCTCCTGCCTGCATACATGTTCTCACCAGTGCCTCTATGCCACCAAACCTGTAAACAAGTTGTTTGTTGTTGGGGTTGTTACATGTCAGGTTTGACAAGACACCTGCTGCACATGTCACAACTTGAATATCATTGGATGACAGCAGCTGCACCAACATCTGCAGCAAGTTGTCAAGACCATCCTCCTTGGTTGCAGCATCTGACAGATTGCGCAGAGTCCAGAGGCAGTTCTGAACAAGTCTGTTGCTCTGGTGACCAAGATGCATAGCCAGTGCTTGCATACCTCCAGCCTATGAAAAAATTAGCAAGCTTAGTTTACAGATGGTTCACTAAATCTTAAGACATAAGATTCCGAATCAGTTCTCCCTTCAAACTGTCATATATTTCTTATAATTTTGGCTACGAGAATTGAGTGTAAAATCTAAAAATACTCTGTCACTTGCAATCTGCTTTAATCTCCTTAATTCTTTGCCACCAATTTTACTCTTTGATTTAATTTTTGATTCTTTGGTGGTTTTATTGAACTGATATTTTGTAATCTAGCTCAAATTGATGTAGCTCTCATTTCCCAAAAAAAAAGACTCTCAACACCACAACTATGCCAGCAGTTTCCATAACTTTTTCCAAAATAAGTTTCCGATGGTATACCAAGCAACTCTGCCAGGAAAGGGGCAGTTGGGCGAAATTCAACCACAAGAGTCTGGGTACAAGCTAAACAGCTATACCCTTTTTCAGAAACAAATTTCAATGACTTTTTCAGGACCCAGATTGATTTTTCCTGGACTCCAAATTTAACCTTGAACATTGTCATTCTTAAGATTTTGAAATCAATTCTTGTTGCAGTCAACATACAATTCTTATAAGATAAATTCTGAAAACTTTATTGCTTTAGTTAGACAGATTTCCAAGACTTTCCAGGACCTGCAGTCTTTTACCGGTGTTTTCTAGTCCTCAAAAATCTAAAAATAAAATTCCAGGACCCATATGAACCCTAGTTATGAGTAGTGCTAGACTTCCAGTAACCAGCTCTTAAAGAAACTTGTGACTAAACTCTTTTCAACCCTCCACAAACATCAATTCTCTGGTATGATCTTTCACATATTTTTGTGGAATTTGAGCTCTGAGTTTTGAGTAAAATAATGAAAAAAAGATTCTCCTTTTGATGCTTTCCCTTAGTCACTTCATTTTTCAGTTTGATCATTTACTCCAAGGAGTGAAAAGATTAACAGCATTGACAAGCAGTATTAACACTCACCTCCACAATCGCTTGCTTGTTGTCAGTGTCCACAGAGAGAACCTTCAGCACACGGCTAGTGGTAAAGAGAAGCTTCTCATATGTATAACTTCTCATGATGCGCACCAGCTCAGCAGGGCCTCCTGATGCTAGGATGATCAACTTGCTCTCTTTGTTACCATAAGCCAGCACATGAAGGCAATCTGTGACAACAATGAACATGGTGCAATATTTTGGTAAGAGACACAAAAAAGCCAGAAATGCTTACTCTCCACACCTTTGTTAGACAATTTCAAAAACTCAGTATAAGAAGTTGTGGACTACCATTTAAAATGTAGAAGATAATTAAGAGATTCCTTAAAAATCCACCTTTCAAATAAGAATTTTCTTACTTATTGGAAGGTTGAAGGTTTAGTTTCTATTGGCAACACTCCATTCTTTTTCTCCAAATATGACTGTGTCATTCCCTAAATAACATATTCTTTTACTTAAATCACCAGGCTTAAAAATGGTGATTTTAATTCACATCTTCATTCACATCATCATCGCACAGAAGCATCACATGTTGACATTTCTATCCTGGCACCATGGATGTTGCTAAACAGCCTAGCTCACCACAAGTCTCCTGTTGCTTAGAAGAAGAGCTTCTGACTTACTAATCTCAAGGTCATAGGTTTGACTTCTACTGGAAGCACCTAGAGTTCTTTTTTCCAAGAATGCCATGTCATTTTCCAAACATACAAAATTTTGTCAAAATAATTTTGAAGGAGCATTGCCATTACTAATTTTGATTGATTTCGGTGTTTTCTCTCTTACCAAACAATACTTGGTTGTTTCCCCTCAAATTGCCAATAATTTCCTAGTCTGAAAATTCAAATTTATACCTGTAACAATCGCCAGGAACTTGACATTGGAACGCCCTAGGAGGGCCACCATCTTCTGCAAACCTCCCGCCAGTCTAACAGCCATCTTGGCACCTTCTTGGTGGAGCAGAAGATTGTGCAGGGTAGTGATGGCATAGAAAACTACTGCTTCCACAGGGGATCCAAGCAACCTGACTAAAGCTGGGATGCCACCAGATTTAAAGATGGAGAGCAAGCCTTGTCTGTAGCAACATAAAAAAATTATTTAAATAATAATCACTACAGATAAAGACATCTTGAAGATGGATTGTAAAATAGGCAAATATAGCATTCATATCTAACTTTTATTTTGTATATTACTCACCTGTGATGAGACAAATTGTGCAAAGTTCCTGCAGCACATCGGATGGTTTCCGGGTCATTAGAGCTGTTTAGAACTTTCACAAGAGATGCCACCATTTGTGGTGAGTTCATAATGGCATGGCGACTTGCATCCTTCTTGGAAAGTTGATGCACCATCATTGATGCTTGTCGGATTACCACCTTAAAGTTTGTTGACATGTGGGTAAATGAAAAAGTACTTCTTACAAGCTTAGGTTGCTAATCTGTACTGTATGTTACAGAAAAAGTATTTTATATGCTTTTGATCTTTGACAAATTCCTTCCAGAACTTAGTGATTCTTTTTAGAGCCAAGATTTGGCATGTTTTTCATTTTCTTTGTAAATACACACCTGATCTTCGTCATTCAACAGCTTGTTCAACTCAGGGATGGCACGTGTGGCCAGATCAGCATCATCCTACAAGGTGGAAATAAAAAATCATCAGTAACAAGCCTTAGAACAAAATACCAAACCATAAAAGTATGATCTGACACCCTTCCCACAACAAATTTGCCACTGTATTGAAAGTGCACTGTTTTACCTGGTAGTTGATTAAATTGACAACAGCTTGCTTTAGCATAAGCGATGGTTCAGCCAAGCGCTGGACAGCTGTGTTAGCTGCTGAATCAAACTGTGTGGAAGGGATATGAGCACCTTCTTCCAGGGTCTCAGGAAACATGGCTTGACGGATGCGTTGACTGTGTAATGGTAAACACATATTAGACTACTAATGTATTACACATGAAATGAAATAGGAAAGCTATTCAAGATCATACTCAATTGATCACTATAACATAACAATGCAGTGATACTAGTTTAGATATTTCAATTTACATGTTGTCTATTCGAGTGCCAAAATATCACAATAATCCATTCAAATTCAGTTTGTACTTAGTTAATGACTTTTTTCATAAGCCTTCTTTGAGCTTTGCCCTATGATTTTGCCATACATGTATTAGCACAGGATAAAAAGACCATGCTGAGAGATCTGATTGGCAGCTGTAGGCCACTGCTTACTAGCTTTTATTGTAAAACCCAAACATTACCCCTCTCCTGATGATTCCACTCACCTCCTAGTTGAGACAAATTGCTGATTCATAGCGTGCATCTCCTGCTCGGAAAATCCGGGCTGCTCCCACTCAAATGCCATGTGTGTTTTCATGTAGTCATCATCATCATCACCCTTGATTGAATGTGCTGTAGTTGTAGCGCCTGACATAATACCAGAATCATGATACTGGTGATGCCACATTGCAGTCTGCTCATCTTTGCTCATTTCACCGTGGGGTAATCCAATTCTACTCGTCTCCATGGTGAAAACTATATCAAGAAGGTTAATGCACATGGTTAATACCAGTAATTCATATCTAGTGTTTTACTGTACAAGCACTAAACATTAAATTTATGACCTGCAAAACCACCTAAAGTCAGTTGCAATTCTTGAAAATCCAACAATAGATTGCTCTACTGCTCTTAAAATTCATTTCACCCATCTTGCCTAAAAATACAGAAGGGCATGGCATGTCTAAGAGAATAAGAGGCAATTCCCTGAGCAGCTCTTTCTCAAAATCAGAGCCACAGGTTAGTTTTAGTGAAGGGAGCTAAACCTGAACCAGAAAGAACAAAAAAAAAAAAAATTAAAACAAGAAACAAAAACTTAAACCACAATTGATGCCAAGTTCACGAATTTGAGCATTAGCCCTTTATTGTTTACTCTAACAAAGGGCTAACTCTCAAGACCTCTGCTTTAGAAACTATTTACTAAGTAGTCAATTTTCATTATTAAAGTAGTTGATGAAACCAATTTATCTGTTAATAGCTCCCTCTGATGCAACATTGTGGTTTCTCAGAAATTATCCTCTATTCATTTGACAATATTGAGTTACCTTCACTAAAACACAAGACTGACAACTAAACAAATCTTGACACCAATAGATCACTACAGAGCTTCAAGTGTCATCATACAAAGAACTTCACAGTCTTGATACATGACGAGAAAACTCAATTTTCTTTCCTGAATAAAGGTAACTAATCCCTTGCAACAATGCCCTCTTAAATGAAATAAGGAAACTGAAGCACTGTAAAAACTAATCTACAAGAACATTGTAGAACAATTAACCATCTAATGGGTGATACTTACTAAAGAGCATATGCATGAAAACTACTCTTAAATACTTATTTTACGCAAAGACTTAACCTTCACTTAAATATGAAACAAACCAGTAATAACAATATCATTCTAGACGAACTTTGTTCCATGTAAAGCAAGCTTCAAGTTATAGAATTTGGTTTGAATCAACTGAGTTAATAATATAAACAATCCATTGCAAAGAGTTTTTCTAGAGATGAAATTTCGAGTGTTAGCCCTTCAATAAAAAACGAACACTTCCTTAACTGTTTTAAGCAGTGCCGTATACAAAATCCCTAGATATTAACTGTATGCGCCACTGAAGAGCTAAGAAACAAACTGGTTTTACCTGCAACTCTTAGGGAACGCGAAATGTTTCAAGCTACTTTGAGGATTCTATCAAATTATTTTCATACAAAATCATCCATGCCAGAACTTAAAATGTTTGGAGCAACTTCCTCAGCACACAACAAAATATTACGAAACACAACTACATATCTTACAGTTTTATAATAAGCAAAAAAAAAAGACAATGGTTAACAGGAATTTCCTTTGATATTCTGTGTGTTTCTTAAGAGGATTTGATATTTCTTTGGTAACCAAGGTTCAATTAGAGGAAACAATGCATTCGAATTTTCTAGACTGATTGGATATGAAAAAAAAAAAAAACTCCTTAGATTGATGTTGCATCCAACAAAAGGTATAATACATGTATGTTGTGCAAAATGTTACATTGTAAAGTAAACACTGTATCAAATTTTCTAATTGAATAGAAGAAAGTGAAAAATTGTTTGATACAAGTTTCTGTTGATATGTTATCGTAAGTGACCTTGGGCCAAAGTCTGTTAAGCACAATATATGACAAAGAGGAGTGTTGCATCTGAAACTATATTTGACGTCTCCTAAACGTTTCAAGTGTTTATTTGCATATTGAATCCCAGAAAATCACTTGTAATGTTAAAGGAATTTTAACCCATTGCTAATATCATCTGATTGAATTTCAAATCAAACACAAACTTGTCTTAGTCTCAAAACGGTTTTTGTACACCTACAAGTACCCATTTAGCACAAATAATAGCTATAAAAGAGATTTAGTACAACGGGCCTTGTGAAAACCGGCTAAATAGTTTCGTATACGACTCTTTCAAAGAAAATCCTGTTTCACAGCATAACCACCCACGTTTATTATATAGTACGTTCATTATCACGGTAAACGCTCAATAAACGAGTACAAAATGCTTACCTCTTCACCGCTTTGAGCCCAGCTACGCTGTATCAAACAAACTTCGTAATGTTACAATTTCTTAGTAGCTGCAGAGGAAAAGAAACACAATATTTACAAAAGCCAGACGGAACAGATCTTTACTTAGTTTTTCTATTTTTAATAAGAGCAATATTACATGGTTTTTACGTTTCTTGCACACAGAACGTGACTTCCGACGGAAAGAAGAGCCCATACGGAATCAAAGACACTATTGTTAGCTAAGTAAACAACTAGAAGCTTACGGATATAAAGAAATTCATTCCCTCGCTCAAAAAAGCGTGACAAATTTTTCTGGTTCTCTGTGTGGAAATATGCCGCTCAATCTTAAGCAAGCGGAAATCTCTGAATTAACAGACAGAGCGAAGAAGAAAATACAATTAAGAACCGAAAATAATATGGTGTGAAAACCGTTCTTCAGTTGGATCTATGTAACTCAACACGCATTGCAGCTTTTTTTTTTACCGCCAAATAATATATTGTTTATATACAGTCTTGTTTAAAACTTTTCATTTGCACTCTTACCAATCTTTCGCTGGTTAGAGCATCGACTGAGGTGGAATTCGTACACCTGTAAAAGACAAAACTGATGAAAATGTGTTGAAAAAGCTATTTTGTAAGCGTACAGGATGAACGTAATCGCTCAACTAAAATATCTGCTGAAGAACGAGCGAACATCATATCGAGGAAGGCTAGAAAATCGTTGGCTTACAGAAAGATTGATACAGAGGCAGCCTTGTTTAACTCAATTCCAATAAGAAAACTTCGGAAATTGTAGGGGAAAGGAAAACCACATTTCCTGACCGCCGCCGAATAAAGCTCGCAACTACGAATTCTAAGCGCCTCGCTAAGTATAAGCCGTGCTAGTGGCTGTCTACTTCGCTTTGACATAAACCTCAACCGTTAGTTTTCAGAGGTGCAAACTCTCCCAAAATGTAAAGTTCAAATAAAAATCCACACAATCGTGAAATAAGATATGTTCCTAACGTTTAAGAGATTGCAACAGTAAATTATAGAGCAGAAAAGCGGCTTTAGTGACCGCCTAACCCAGCAAGGTTGCTGTCAAACAAGGCAACTGGTCCAGATCGGCCCGAATATAAAGCTATACACGTTTTCAACCAAATGAAAATCATTATGGACTTTTAATTCATTCGAGTCAAGCATAAAGTACGGTGTCATCGCCCCATACTAGGTCCATTAATATCTTAGCAAATTCTTCGGTGAGGAATTTTAAGTAGAGCGCAGCGAAGGAAAACCAGCTTAAGACTTAATTTTTCAAGAAACAGAAATCATGGAAGATTTCCAGAGTTTCAGGTTTTTACGGGACATTAAATAAATACAACAGCATCTAACGAGCAAAGAAAACTTTTGATTCAATGATAGTCCGCAAAGATAAATGCTTTTAACACGAGGGGCCATTCGAATTGAACGCAGAGCGACTTGCGGCCTAAATGCGACCTATTGTTCATCGAGAAATCCGACTTGTTCCCAAAATGATGACATTTAATCGAAAAACGAAATCACAAAATCTTCAACAATAGAACAAAGCTAAACTTTAACCGAAATTCAGCCGTCTGGCAGGTAGTTTCTCACTCAAAAAGACCGAATAACCCCCAAATCTCCCTGCTGGTAAACAACTATTACAACAATAGCAGATTTCAATATTACTACCAACTACGCGCGTTTCTATTCGGTTGCGAACACTTTTTTAAGTGACATATCAATCTCGAACACGTTTGCTCCGAACTCTAATGCTTACCGGTTGAAGTAGCCGCGTAGAAGAGTAACTAGTTTCAGCTACAGAAGTCCTTTATCGATGGAACGCTCGATCAAAAACTGAGCTGGCATCCAAAACAGTCCATCGAGGGTTTGGCAGTAAACCGAGCTAGCGTGGGCACCATTCGTTGCCTAAATTACCTGTCAATCATTCGCACAAAAATATGCAATCAACGGCAGAATGCATTTTTATCGGGATAAATGGATCTTGTGGTTTCAGCGAAGCGAAATTCAATTTTGGATAAATAAAAACAAAACAGATCATATAAGTTTTCTGAAAGAGAATAAAAAAATTATCATTTTCCCAACATCCTGGAGCGTTACGCTACACGGAAAAGCAAAGAAAATGCGACAAACTGCTCAGCGATCGAGTGTTCTAATAAGAGAAGAATTTGACAAGCATGCAATTTAAAACTCCCTAGGGACCCTTGAGGGCTCCTCCCAAATACTTAAACAATTCAGGAGGAACAAAGGAGCAAAATGAACGCATTTTCTGTCTGCTGAGTTGGCTGAGCAGAATGGAAAATACTTTTGTTTCCATTCTCGATTTTTTTCTCTGGTAATAAATGAACCTTTCCATTACGATCGTTAGTAGTAAGTTATTATCATAAGACGTGGGAAGGGTCGATGAAGTAAAACGAGGAGGTAGGGTGGGTGCCCGAGAATTTTCATGATGAGTTATCCGGTGGAGGAATAATGAGAAAAACCTTGCAAAAATAGGATACAATTCTGCGTTCTAGTCTTGCTTCTAAATAGCACATTCACTCTCATTAACTTAATCACCTGGTCCTCACAATCCACAGAAGGCTACAAAATATCACAGCTGGTGGCTGAACACGTAACGACCTGCCTCCCCCTGCCACACAAATGAAGTTTAAGCTTTTAGAACGATATTGTGTCTATTGTCAGTCTCGCATCAAAATGCAATGAAAGCTTTTTACCTCTAAAAAACAAAATAACTTATACAAATTGGTTCTGCGATATTTTCGTCGAAGGTTTTTTTTTTGATTTGCTTGATTACACATCATCAAAATTACAAGATCGAAAATAACTGTAACCCTCAATTAAAGGTATTTTTAAATAAAAGGTCGCTGGCCCGTCACACTCTTTCAGACATGTGCGTGAATTAAAAACACCTTTGAATTGTGATAACACGAAAAATCGATGGAGTGTTAATAAAACTTAGCTGTTACTTCCTAAAATCACAAAAATAAATCAGTACTTCAAAGCAGTAAAATTAAACATGACTAGTTTCGGAACGAGAACGATTAATCAGAAGGAAAAGGTAAAAAAAATTCCCTTCTCGATGTGCTTCCAACAGCAAATATCAAATATTCACATGGAACTTTTCATATTTTCAAATAAAAAGTTATTAGTTGACGATAGCTAATATTTTCAAAGCTTAGGAACAGCAAGAATCCGAGACGACAAATTAAAGAAAAAGGCTGAAGTATTGCTATTTATTCACGTATATAATTATTTCATATATTCTACAATTATCTAATCGATATATTTGTTTATTTTAATATTACCAGTTATCAAAACTGAAAAATACTTAGAGGCCCAGGTGTTGCGCTCGCGTCATTTCAAACTTTTTCTGAATTACCATAAAGCAAAAAAAAAAACAAAAAAATTGCCTGAAATATGTGCTGACGTCTTGTATATTTCAAGTTGTTCATGCATGAAGAATTTGCGCTTTATTATCATGCCATATTACTCGCGACAAGCAAAAAACCTATATTAGCATAATTCTCTTCCCAGTCCTGTTTTGCCGTGCTCTTCCAGGACGATCGCTTCGCCTAGCTAACTTCAGTAACAGCGCGAGCTGGGCAGGATTGAGGATTTATTGCAATTGATAATTGAAAGAGTCATAGTTTACAACTGCGAATAAAAAATGTTCAAAGACAATTGATTCTAGTCTCGTGATGAACAACAGGAAAAGAGTAGGTTTTCCGTCCTTCAAGTACCATCCGCCCCTTTTAAGTATCTCTAACTTTTCAGGTTCTGATGGAAAAAGAGGTTTATTCAACAGAGCTTCAAAAGAACTTGGACTAATTTTTTAATTAAATAAACGCCTGTGCGCATTGCCACTGTCTGAAAACTATGCGCTCTTCAATTTCATTTAATTGGAAGTTCGATCCAGTGCAAGAGGAGTGGTTCGACCAATGAATTAAAGAGTATTGTGAGCCACGTCTTCTGCATGACTTTATGGGTAAAATAACACTATGTTTCGCAGTTTTCTTAGCCGCATTAAATGGACCTCCAACCTCTAGATCTAAGACTGCTTATCGCAACGATGGATGGAATGCCTGCAACAAGCAACCCCAGAACACACAAGGATCTACATCCAGCGTAAAACCGTTCAATATCGTTCCTTATTCATTCCCTGACCAGCCTTTTCCTTTAAAGAAAGATTACGGAGGATTTAAGAAGGTCGTTAATCGAAGACCGGTACCAAGTAGATTTCAGCCAGTTGAAGAAGCGGAAGTGACGAAACCGGAAGTCGCCCAAGAATAGCGTCTGGTTAGCAGGGTATAAAACACGTATCGGAAACCCCATCCTGAGTTTGTGCACTGATAAAAAGTATTTTTAAGTTTGCTTTACGAAACCGGAAAATTCACCTCCCGAAACAAAAAGGACAATGAGAGCTAGTCTGTCTCGACCGGAATATCAGTTAGGAAATTGTAGAGGGTAATTTTCTTTACACTGTCGAATTAAAAAGTAAAATTTCGCCTGAAATGTTCCTCGTTTTTAGGTTCCGCACAAGTATCGTTATTTCAGTGAGGCCTCAAACGAATATCAATGTGCTCATCAACGATTTTTCACAAGTTGTCTTCAATTTTTTTTCCTGTCCACCTCGATTTTAATTTGTAGGCTTCCTTCTTTTTCACATATAGTTCTGATTTTTTCAAACTAAGATTTATTGAGAATTACATATCGACATTTGGAAATTAAAAAAAAAAAAAGTTTCATATACTCGTAATTTCAATAACTTCTTTACTTGTCCCCAGGCTCTTATCTATTCCTGAAATCCCTTGAAAAAGAGGTTGTCCAAAACCCGCCTTCTCTACTTCAAGATTAAAATTTTTAAGTAACTCAACTGAATTACTCTACAATTCAAAGTATAATATAAGTGAGACCTTGCGCTATACACGTTTTTATTTTACATAATTTTGTTAATAATCGCAGACCTTTCTATGCCTTTCTATGGCTTTCTCCCGATTTCTGCTCCTGCGTGGAGCTACACGCATTGCAAGCGCGTTTCATTCCCACGCATTACGTGCACTTTGACGCGCATGTAGATGCTGTAGCACACTTGAGCGATACTGAGTGTGGGCTTGAAAAATTGAATCAATATTACCTTGTAAACTTCGCGCAAAATAAATAATACAAGGAAAGGTTCGTTTCGTGGTTTGATTGTTCTGAATGGCTTTTCTTTTCTTTAATCAGACCATGCAGGAAACTTTTAAAGACGAATTTGTGGTTTCACAAGATTTTCCTGCAAAGTGTTTACCAGAATGCCTCGATTTCTGGAACTAAAGCCAGTCCAGGTCAGATTTGCTTCGGCTTGGCCGACAACACAATCGGAGGTCTTCGGGTTCGAGAATCTTCGGAAGCGTCGTCGGACAGCGTCGTCGTCATTTCACCCATCAATGGATGCAATTATCGTGGCCAGTTCGCTACACTCGAGTATTCAGAGTATCACGTTAACACTGGCTTCGGGTCATGGTGAGTCTTATGCCACCAGATTATAATCAACATGAAGATGAAAAACAGCACTCTTCTTAACATTGTTTTGATGTCTTTGGTGATCAGAGCATTTGCCAACACACCGGAAACTTTATGAATTTCGTGGCTTACACAGACGAACACGTAGGTGGTGAGAATGACATTGAGTAAAGGCTGATCCGGAATAAGCACTAATACTCCTTTTGTGTCATGCGCCAGCCAAATGTGGTACTGTGCTATAAACAACTGAAACATAAACAGAAAGTACATCGTAAGCGAGGTTGATCTTAATCTCTCTGGCAGTACTATACGAACTGGGGACTGGCACTAATAATGAGAGCCATTCTTTATCAGTACCAAGCCCCTTGCAAACCTATCGCACACTTATTTTTTAAAGGAGTTTGGTTCCCTGCCCAGATGCAACACAGAGAGTTTTCGGCGAACAAAGAACAGCAAAATGTTTCAACGTAAGTTCTAGCCGTCTGCTTTCAGCAATCTGTACCCCAAAGCGAAAACGTTCGCATTAACCCTTTAACTGCCAAGATCTAATTGTTAATTCTCCCTAGCTGCTTAACATTTCCTTGTAAATTAGTTATAAGAACTTGGTGCTCGATCAAGATAGCAACTTGTACCTGATAAATTTGAACATTCTCTTTACCAAAAGAAAGATGTTATTCGTCTTGTTACAAGCGGGACAAAGGAAAAAAATTCTGAGTCCCCACAAGGACTGTTTTACCTGTGAGAAGTTTCATGTTAATCACTTCTGGCGGGTTAAGGGTTAACTATCAATTTTTTATTTTTCAACAGAGTTAAAACTACCTAGGGATGGATCATAAAAAAAAAAATGAAGAAATTCGCAGGGAGCAAATATGAATTCTACTATCGCAATTTAACAACAAAAAACGTGTGCGAACTACAGGTACTAACCTCGAGAGAAATATTTCCAACCCAGGAGAAAAATTTACTGAATTTTGACCGGAACGGACCGGGAACATTCCTAAGAAACACGAAGGCTATAATCTACAAGAAAAAAACCAAGGGAAAGAATGGAAGAGAATATTATTACATCAAAAGATTACTAACAGTGAGCCCCTTATAAATACTTAACATACCTCGTTTTCTGGGTCCTTATTGTAAGTTACGGAACCTCGGTCCGTAATACGTACTTATTGAAGGAGAGGGCCAGACCGTAAAGTGTATGGCTCGAGGTCATGATGTACAGACCGAGCACAGCGAGGTTCGTACGTCATGAACGAGAGACAAATGTTTTCCCGTCCGGCCAGAATTAACCCAGTCAATAAGCATTTTATCAAATGACCACTGACTAAGTTTTGAAAAATTTAAAAAGTTTGTTTTAACTTAAATAGGACGCAATAGACTGGCGCGCGGGGGAAAACCACGTAAAAATATTCTCCAACAAAAACTTTTCCTTTCTTTCTTTCGTTCTTTTTTTTTCCGCAACAAAGGTGAACAAGTACACTAAGGCCGGACGGCTCTCTCCGAACCGGATCACGTAAACCGTTTGGCCCTTCACGTGTCAGCTTTCACTATGGTTTTCTATGGGATTAGGCGAGCGGAGCCGGACGGGCCATATGGTAACTTACAGTAGGAACCTCGAACTCGGTTCGTGAGAGGCACTTATGCGAGATGAAGTAATGAACAGTCCACCGCTACAGATTCTCCCTTGCATATTAAAAGTTAAAAGCTGTGTGTAAGAAGGTGATAGGGCTAAGGAAAAAAGTAGTGGATGGTATTCAGAAAAATTTCAAGGGTGCAGGAGGCTGATGAAACGAGGGATTCATAGATGAGGCGAGGACAAAAATAATTGAACAAGGGGAGGGAGGAGAAGGGTTGAATATGCAGTGATCGTCTCCCTAAAATCAATCGAGAACAATCTGCGACTGCATTGGCATTCCTAAACTACGCCCTGTGATTGGTCTAGAAAACTCGCGTCACCAACTTTACCAATCAGATAAAAAACTAAAACCAAGCGCGACTTGGCCATTCGCATTTTCCCGCGCTTTCGGCAGATTGCTTGTTTTAACATTAAATTCTAATTGGCTTACTTGGTAGTGATTTTTCTCTTTATTATGATTGGCCGATGTGCGTTTGGTTTTTCCTTTAAGACAATACTACTCGTTTCATTTTTCTTGTATAGAAACGCTTGCTGCGCCGGTTGAGGCACGGCTGGGATCAAACGGATGGAAAATTAAGAAGAATTAAAAGGAAACAATTACTTGTACTCACAGGTATAAATGACATTGTCGAATGAGTCTGATTGCAAGAAACTTTAGAAGAGCACGTTAATGCCTGAGTAGTATAAATCTGCAACCAAAAAAGTTGGTTAGTTACTTCATATTCAAATCTTAAAAAGTTTCACGCATCACAAGTTACTTAGGGGATTTGAGAAAAAAAAAACCTCGCTGTGCAAACGAGCATTTCGTAGCCAGGAATAACCTATTGTTCGTAACGCTTCGTCAAGCCCGAGTGACGGTATTCCCGTTTCCTTCAGGAGTCCATGAGCGTCTGGCCCCTAAAGGTGAAGTGTCTCAAGAGACGTGCTCCTTTTCTGGATGGCCAAAGATCCCTCGCAAGTAAGTGCGCTTGGGCAGGGATTATAATCATGTTTTCTATAAGCGGCTACCGATGATATAAAAGGCGGCTAAGATCGGAAAAGGGACTGTAATGCGAAATAAAACACAAGAGCTTATTCGCAAGCTAAACAGACCGCGATATGAGGTTTTACAGGCGGAGGTAACCGGCCTTCATTCAATCCCCTACATGATGGAGTAGCATTTAGATAGAATCTCTCGGCTCTGAGTAGAAGTTACCGTTTCCCGCGCTTGGCCGGTGTTGCAATTCTTCCCGCGTTTGGGACGGATTACACTTTTCCCGCGCTGGGAAGCGACTGCGATTGTTGCCGCGCTTTGCGCTTTTTTTCCGCCTTTTTGGTTGATCATACTTAACCTTGAGCTTTGCATCAGTTTCGATTTTTTCTCTCGCTTTGGGCGAATGGCACATTTTAGGCCGCCGAGTTGCACAAATCTATTTTCAGAATTTGTACGGCCTTTTCTTCCCTTTCAGCGGATGCTTTCGGTTAGTTGCTCCGACTGGAAACACCAAACGGTTACATCTTATCCTTACCATTATCGCCACAACAGCAAATACTAGACACACAAAGCCTACAGGTCTGGAGAAAAGAGTTCTCTTGTTATTATCGTCGAACATTTTAAGATATTTTCCAGAGCAGTAAAGAAATGCTACAACCATTCCAAAAAGTGTACCCTGAAAGAAAAGGGTGGAAAGGATTAAATCTAGTACTATTACCCTGACCTAAACCCGTGTACTTTCACAACTCCAGTCAACCTATTCTTGTTATTAACATAATTTTCTCGGATATTGAATTCTTTTGACTGCAAGCTTATTTATCAAAGCCTCTTACCACATGTAAAGTCACGTTTTAATTCGTTTTATGGGCCATCGAAGATCTAACGTGAAAGCTCCGACTTCCTCTTGCTAAAACTGTATTTGCCCGCGCTCATTATATCCCCGAAGTCAGAGAAACAATATGAATCAGTAAACAGTCTCGAAAACTCGCGGGAGAAGCTTCCGTTAATTTTTCATGTCGAACTGAGATCTGCTTATCCGTGCTCATAGTCTACTCTGAGAAAAAAATAAAAGACGAGTAAATTCATTTGACGTGACGAGATTTCGGTAAGTCTTCGTTAGTAATCGACAAGACTTCTATTCCTGCTACGACCGGTTCAGAAAGAGAGAATCACCCCGAAGAAGCTTCCGTTCATCCTTCGAGGAATTCTCGTAAACTACATAGAATCCGATCGACAGAGAGTTTGTTACTCACATATCTATCCAGCCATGACCGAAACCACCACTCGCGAACACTATCATTCTCATCAATGAATAATTCTTTAATGGCCCACTGGGAAAATATCCATTGGCATAACGTCTGGGAGGTAAAAAGAGAGGTCATTCACATGCATGATAATAATAATAACTAATAATAACAATAATAATAATATTGGTAATAATAATGACATTAAGAAAATTAATATTTATACAGAGGGCGATCTCACAGTAAGTGGCTTCTAGGACTGCCCTGAAGAGAATATTATGATGTTAAACACGCGTTGAAATGATTTAACGACAACCGTACGGTCGATACTCTGACAACAAAGCGTGCCACAATTAGTTTCACTCTACTTCCGATTGCCTCGTGCGTCTCAAAAATGAGCCCGCGCTCCTTCCCCCGAAGAAAAGCTCCTTCTAGTTAGAATCGATGAGAACAAGACCCAACAAATGTATACAAGCTGCATTCATCAAAGCTCCCTCAGTTCTTATACTCTCATGGCCTTTAAGCGTGCTAAAATGATAAGGAAGAAGTCTGTGTAGATGTACCACATTCAGTTTACTTACTGGTGAGCTCCAGATCGTGGAAATAACGCCAAACAGGAACAGGAACTTCACCAATATAACAACATAATGCTTCTGGTTATCTATCAGGAAAATTACCGGCGTTTAATATAAACGTAACCGGCAGAACTAGAAAATATCTCAAAATCAAGAAATCACCAAGAGCATTAACCGATCTGAAACACGAAACTCCATCTTGATGGAAAACTTTTACTGACTAATTGATTAACCCTTTACAACCAGAGATCAACATTTATCTTCTTTATTCTGTTCTCCGCATATTCTCAATGGCACTGATAAGGAGAATTTGTTTGACAATCAAGAGCTTCTTTGGTCGATGATCATTTCCTATATTCTTATAACCATGTTTGATAATGTAAGGAGATGTTAGATGTTAGTGACTCCTTGAGTTATGAGAGCAGATTTTGGAGCAGACCAGTGACACGATGAAAACATTAATTAAGGGACATAGCCTGATAAAACCCTTTATTCTCAGAACTATCTCTCTACGAACTGTGCGGCAAACAGAACTGAAGGAGAATTAAGGTTGAGATGCGGCAGAGAAAGAGTAGCCTGCAATGCAAGTGTCTTTTTTTAGGGCGAGTTAACGTTACAAGCCATGACCAGCCATGTTTGCCTGCCCTAACCCTAACCGTCACTCATCCCCTTGGTAGAAATTTATTTCTTTCTCCAGCCTTCCGCTGCTGTTGGAATCAAAGATGGTAGCTAAATTTTCACCAAGAAAATACCTGCTCTACAGGGCAGTGGAAGCGTTGATGCCAATTTAAAGAGGAAAGGAGAATCATTACAGGGAGAACCTGATCAGAAAAAATTATACTCACCTTTAACACGAGCAGCAGTGACTCTGGGCCACAATGCCATCACAGCATAAACCACTACAAACCAAAAGGTTACTAACGGAACAAAGTAGTAGAACTGATAGGGGCGACCCATGATTAAACAGAGAACAGCCACGAGAATATTCATGCGAGTGATAACCTGAAACGAGATCAAACAAGCCATTACAGTGTGTATTGGAAATTTCTGAAGCACTTAACCGCGAGCGATCGAGATATGTTTGGACGTGAGGTAAGAAACCTGGGTCGATTTCACCGATTCTAGGCTAGCTGGTGAACTTGACGGAAAAATGAATTAAATTCAGGAAATACCATCTATTTCGAAAAACTGTGGAATTCACCTAGTGCCATTGCACGACTAGATTTATATATTTTTAAAAGACAAAAAGAGGGAAGACATTTTTCAATGTTACCATAAGTTGATTGCTTGATATTGTATTAATTTTCTAAATAGACAGTACGTCTTGGTTACTACTAGATGTGAAAGGGTTAAATGACCCCACACGTGTTGCCTGTAGCTCAGTTGGTAAAGCACCCGAGAGCGAAATCGATAGCTGGTGTTCAACTTTTCACGGGGGATTCAGTATTTCTTCTTTGTTAAAACGTAACTTAAGTTATTACCTGACAAAACCTGTAGAGGCCAAAATCTCCCTTATTCCAAAAGTACGAGAAATGCCCATACCCAGAGAGGAAAAGATATGAAGCTACGAGGAGTCTTATAAACACGTAAATTGGAAGCACCTGTAGTTAGAATAAAGGAAAATTAGAGAGGAGTAGAACTTGTATGCTAGTTCGCTACAATACTAACACTGACTTCACAATGAACTCAGCTTGGATTTTTCGAGTGTTTGTTTGCAATCAGAGTCAATCTTCTCCATCCACACCCATATTTGCTTGTGTTGGGTTCACTCTTGTCATTTTGTTGTTTTCCTAGCTTACCAAATTGATATTTTATAGTTTCTCTCGCGTTGAGCGTAATTTTTTGCGCGTGGCAGAAGACAACTCCTATTTTTATGATATGACGCCTTTTAAAACGTGAAGCGAGGATTAACCTGTTTATCCGCATCCCGCATTCCGCATCTACAACCTCGACCCTTTCCAAGAGAGTTTAACAGGGAAGTCAGTTCAATCACTAGTTAAGTGGAACTAGAATGCATACGCCAGGAGAGACAGACATGAAGAGAGGTACGTCACTTTGCACCTTATAGAAGAGCGTGAGACACACATGCAGTCGCAATAGAAACACATGCTAACACGAAAGACATGTGGCGAAAAGAACGTCACCTCACACCTTATCCATTGTGGTGGAGTGCGAGATACACATGCATGTGTACGCGCACCTCGTAATAGAGCAGGAGACAAGCATGTGTGCGCAAGAGACGCGTGGCGATAGGCGCATATCACCGCGCACTTTAATGTAAAACGGACGACATGCATAAATGCACGAGAGACTCGTGGTAAACTAGCCACAGGCACGTCATTTCGCATCCTATTGTGGAGAGTGTCCTTCGTTCATTTCAGAAAAAATAGTGTGTGAATCCATCGACTGAATCAGAACCGATCACCATCATTACCTTGCTTGCCCCAATGTAATGATACAAAAGTATAACTAATTGCATCCAGCCTCTCCACTCATTCGTCTGATCTCTGTTTAAAAACACAGTCTGAAAAAACAAATTTGGCAAAGCAAATTACTTAGCACTTATGATCAAATATAGCCTGAAAATTTTGTAAACATTCCCCGTTGACTCTTAACTTCCAAGATTAAATTCATAATTCTCCCTTGACGCTGGTATCCATTTTCTTGTCAATTGGTCATTGATAATTCGGTCTAACATCGAGTCAACATCTTCCAACTGATCTGTATCTCTGTTCTCTATGTCTACTCGCTGGGTAATGTATGGAATTGAAAGAAGAAGTTACATTTTAATCACAAAACAAACCTGTTGAGCTGGTGACCAAGTCCAGGCTCCCAAGGCCAAGAAAACAAACAGCACCAAGATAAACACCAGATGACTGTACTGCTTTTGTTCCTTGAAAAAAAAGTTTGTCCTGTAGATTCAACAGAAAGAAAAGGCAATTTTCAAACGAACAGCATGGAATTTTATCTGCATTAAAAAATTGAACTGAGCACTGGATGAGACAAGTAATAAGTAATAATAAATATAACGACGGATTTCAGTCTATGGCGCCATATTCATAAGCTCATTACGATTTACAAGACTTTGAGGGGACTTTGGCCAGACTGCATTGAGCAGTTAAAAGTTTTTTGCAAGAAACTTTTGCAGATGCCCCTAATTTTGGAATCAAGGCCAGACCACAACACCGTAAGCTGCGTTCCCGAGAAGTGCGTGGGTTCTTTAACGTCCCCTGCACACCAGTAAAGAGAAGATGGACGAGACAGTGCCTATGCTTTATCGTTCATATCCGAGAAGTCTAGACCGTCTAACCTTTTTTGCAGATGTGGTGACAAAGGTAACACATTCTCCTCTGTTACTTTTTAAGACCCTGTGCGTTGGTCCGGTCTGGCCATTACATCAAAAACGATTAAGCCCTTTTCAACAGACTGTCGTGAGACCGAAAAAGGGAGCAGTCACTACGGCCAAGGAAGAAAAATCATCATGAGCCCGACGGAACTCAGAGAGATGGTACACACTCATATTGACAACAAGTTGACTTTTTTTTTCCATCGTGGGGACTTGGCCCGAACGTAGTTGAGTTTTGACTGACACTGCACGTGAGTGCAGTCATGCATGTCGCTTTTGAGAGGGTGTTTTTTCCTCAGAAAAGATAGGTGTAATTAAAAAAAAACGTTTTTTTTACAGAAAGAAAACCTGTGATTGTGACTTCCGGATACTAAACTTCTTTTGCCACGAATGCATTCCCGAAACCACTTATACCGGCAAAAGTCTGTTCTTACAGTTTGGCCAGACCTTATCCTGAATGAAAGCGCCCCATGACACTAACCTGTCACAGAGGTAGAAGTAAAACATTATGAGGCCCATTTTGAATAAACTCTTCATAACAGGATACATTCTGTCAGAGTAGACCCAGCGTAAGGAGAAACTTGCACGGCCCCCAGGTGTGGTTGGCTCAGCACCTGTGAGTGATAGATTACAAAGTAATTCAATCATTGAGTTCTACCAGAGCGTAGATCGATTGCGTGTCATGAAACAAAAACGAAAACAAATATGGAAGCGATTTTCGCAGTTATGGCAGCTACTTAAGAAGTGGTGAAAATAAGGCCTGAAAAAAATTTTGGCCCGTACGAGACCTTTGCAATACCGGTGCAGCGCTCTACCAACTGAGCTAACAAGCCAACTAGGAGTTGGTCATTGCGTTAAATATAAATAAACCCTCGAAGTGGTGAATAAATGACTGTAAATATATGAAATCATATATGTGAACTGCGGTTGAAGAAACGAATATGGAAGCGATCCTCGCAGTTATGAACACTTCTTAAGTAGTAGTGAAAATAAGGCGTGAAAAAAATTCAGGCCCGTACGTGATTTGTACCAATGACTTCTGCGATACCGGTGCAGCGCTCAACAAACTGAGCAAACAAGCAATGGAAGCGATCCTCGCAATTATGAACACCACTTAAGTAATAGGCCCGCACGGGCCTGAATTTTTTCAGAGATGTGATTATGCAAGTACTTGATGAAACTCACCACCAGATCCTCTCGGTTCCGCAGGCCACAGATGCTGACAAACGAACATGATCAGAAACAGTACAATGCTGTAAATACAAGCATCCCAATGCACGAATAAGAAACATGGTAGCGAGGGAGGAAAAAAAAGCACCGAGATTCCCCAAAGGAATCGAAACTAAGACATTCGTATTCGGCGCCCCGATGCTCTGCCACTGAGCCTCAGATAATTCGTTTCGCTAACCCTTCAACCCCAAAAGTGACTAGCATTTAATTTCTCTTTACAATATCAGCTCTGAATCAAACATTAGGGTCATGAGAATAAAGGAAATGATCACCAACGTAAGATATTCTTGATTGTTGAACAAATTCTCCTTGTCAACACCTTAGGAAATGTATAGAGAACAGTATGGAGAATATGCAAACTGATGTTAGGGTGTAAAGGGTTAAGGCAGGCCATTACAAGGTCTAGACGTTATCTTTATTTGTCAATATCTTCTTCAATAATTCTACTCAAAGGTACAGCCCCCCTGCACAGTTTAGTTAACAAAATTCAAGATTTTTTTCATTTTTCCAAAACCACATAACTCTAATTTCTCAGACTCAAAGTTGTAAATGTATTTATATAACCTTAGCGGAATAGCGGTTGTCAAACGTTTAAATTAAAAAAAATACTTAATGATCACGATGCTAAAAGGTTTTGTCTACGATCATTCATGTGAATTCAGCCGGCCAATTTCGCAAAATTTTACAGAGCAATGAAGCACTGGTTACTGCTTCAAAAAACCTCCAGATGCCTTTTCAAGTTGACTTGAAAAGATGCCTTTGACTTTCATGCTAGCGCAAAAAGCTTACTGATCGTTTATGAGAAATTATATTCTTACCATGTGATAAAAACAGCAAACGTGTTTCGTTGCTTCAAAAAACCTCCAGATGCCTTTTCAAGTTGACTTGAAAAGATGCCTTTGACTTTCATGCTAGCGCAAAAAGCTTACTGATCGTTTATGAGAAATTATATTCTTACCATGTGATAAAAACAGCAAACGTGTTTCGTTGCAAATGAGTCAGTCTTGGCGCTGGTAAGCAACAAGTAGCATCAGGAACTTGAAGATATTGATTGCAATAATAGTTTAAAATCAGATTCAGCTCCTGAAAAACAAGAAATCATAAATTCACGAGTTCCAATCGACAGTCAATGCGCAGGTGACAAGAACGAATGAAAAAAATTCTGTAGTTAAGTACTTGATACAACAAGGGAAGTAAGATTTTCATTATATCTGCGTTCCAATTGAGGGGGGAAATTTCAATTTAAAGAGACTTTTGAATTTAGCGGGGCGTTAAGTGAAATACGGCCCGCTAAATTGACCAATCGTAGCGCAAGTTCTAACTGACACGTAACAAATAACATTATGTACCAGTGTTGTTATTGGCTGTCCATAATGAAGACCATCTGTTGATGACTCCGGTTTCCTCTTAGCGGCATGAAATGACGAAGACCATTTTCTGTTGATGAGCAAAAGATCCGGTTTCCTGTAAAATAACTGTTGCAAAGACCCAGGGCATTTGAGGCCGGAGGCCGGACGGTCGTTTGCCATTCCACGTCCGGTACTTTGAGATGAATATTGGCGATTTTTTTTTTGCTGACTGCGGCAAAAGATAGAGTTAGATTTTGTAAAATAACTGTTGCAAAGACCATACTGAAATTTTGATTCAGAAAATTTCTAAAAGCGGAAGCGTTGTTAGAAACAAGCCGACAAAATTCAAGGGGTGTTACCCACACTGACAAGTGGTTAAAATAAAGAGATTAAGAGCTTCCTAAATTTTACGATAACTTTTACGATGGCCCCAAACAGGGTCACCAAACTCGTTTTGGGTTACAGCTCTTTAAAAAGAAATTCAACGGTGTTCACTCATTTTCACACAAGAGTATATTAGCTAAGAAGGTAAGCTACCAGCTAAATCCTGAATTTTCAGTGTCTGAAGGCTGAATGAATCGAATTCGGATAGTTTTGGAGTGGTTTAGTTGGCGGAGTCATTTTATCATCAATACTGTTTACTTCTCATAGTTCCTTCGAAACGAAACTTATATCGCATGTATTTTGGAAACGGGACGTTATCAAATCGTTTAAATAGGCTGCTTAAACATTAATTTTCTGCGAATGTAAATATCAGCATCCCAAAAGAGTTGTTTTAACCCTAAGGAATACATATACTGCGTACTTCACCAAGATAATTGGGTTCAATCAACTGAGTAGATAATGTAAATTGGCCACCATAAAGAGTTTCTAAAAATGACTTTTCAAGCGTTACCCTTTCTTCATTCCCCCTGATGAAGGGCTAACGCTCAAAAAATCTCAGCTCTATAAACTCTTTACGTTGGCCGATTTAAATTATCAATCCAGTTGATGAAACCAAATTACCTTTCCCCACCAACGCAGCACCACGGTTTTTTTCGAGACTTACTCCTTTTATGTACTTAACGAAGTCAGATATTAAACAAAAAAATCAACTTACAACATCTCTCCCACGATTGAATTAAAAAGTTCAATCTTCTCATTTGTGATCATTTTGCGCACCTCATGAAGCTTCGCTTCCACAACTGGTTCTGTAAACAGCAATAAAAAGTTGTCTGTAGTAACCTGAAACTATAATGTGGACACATCTTCACAACATCCTATTACCTTGCTGAACCCAGATAATAGCTGGAGAAGGTGGAAATGGACTCCATTTCTTGAGCAATGGCTGGCTTTCATTTCTCTTTTTTGCTATTAACGTCTCCATTGAACTTTTAACCTTTGTCAAATTAGCTGTAAAAAAATGTAACAATTAGATCAGTCCTCTAATCCAAAAAAAATTATTCTCCAACAAATCTAAAAAAAAAGCAAACTTACACCCATAATTCATTGCTGCACCTAGTCCTTTATATCTAATAGTCCACTGAAATTAAGAAATAACAAGAATTAAAACTAAATTGACCAAACAATTCTTTTTCCTTAATTATTTATCATTAATTTATTATGGAATTATTATCCCTCTTTATCATTAATTTTTGTGTGCAGCTCATCACATTTGATACCTGCAATGAGTATAGGCCATATGGTACGTAATGTGGTCAGTGAATAGTGAAAACTAAATTAGCGCGATTAAATTTTTGACTGTTACTGACAACACTTGGGGTCTGCCGAGCAAACTGCACAAACAAGTCATGCTACACCATTGTATTTTACATTTCTTGTAAACTTACAGTTCCACTTCCTGTGATAATAAGATGAGGACTTTTTTGTGGATTCTGTGGAAAAATAAATTAAAGAAAAACATTACTTTTCACTCTTTGATTAGAGTGAAAGAAAAATTTATCATTTGACCAGCACTGCCCTATGCACACACACACACACACACACCAAACAACATTGTAAAAACTATTGCATGAGAGCTGTATGATTACTTACCACAAACAAAAGAAACTACAGGTACAAAAGCTTAATAATAAAGTAAATCTGTTGAATACAACTGTCCAGTTACAAACAAGAAATCTTCACTACGCTAACAGACATATGATTATGTATCAACTTTGTTACAGTTTTCATTAAAACTTCAATGACATATTGTTTTATTAACCGTTTAACTCCCAAGATCTGATTGTTACTTCTCCCCTCTAGCTGCTACACATTTCCTTGTAAATTAGTTAAGAGAATTTAGTGTTAGATCAAGATAACAACTTCTACCTGATAAGTTGGAGTTTTCTCACTATCTGTTTGCAAGATAATGTATGAATATTATGGGGAGAATTTCTATGTTAATCACTTTGGGGAGCCAAAAGGTTAAACAAAATACTTTACCTTGATCCACCCATCATACAGTGCCTTCATAGACAAGTTAACTTCAGGTTGCCAGTGAAAGAACTACAAAATAAAATTGTTGCCCTTGTCAGGTTGGGCTTTAACACTTCAACTCCCAAGATCTGATTGTTAATTCTCCCCTCTAGCTGCTACACATTTCCTTTAAATTAGCTATGAGAATTTGTTGTTAGATCAAAACAACATTTTCTACCTGATAAGTTTGAGTAATCCCATTATCTGTTTGATGCATTTACTGATTTAATGAAGAATCCATTGACATTTTTAATAACAACTTGATTTAACAAGCTTCTACAGTAAAAGGAAAACTAGGAGACCATGGTTTGGAGAGTGAAAAATTCTTAAATAATATGAATAATTTTAAACCTGGAGATGTAACCATTTGCATGACTGCAAATAATTATATTGCTTGACAGGTCACTCTCTATCTCTGACCAAGTTTCCACTTTTGTCCGACAAAACAGAAATGTGGTCAGATACCTTGGTTATTTATAAATTAAAGTGATTGAACTGAGCAGAGTGCAATTTGGTCTGAAATCATACATGTGATTTCAAAATTGAACAATTGATTGGTTAATTGATTACTTCAAAAGAAGCCCTGAAATCAGATAGGATTTTGTGTTTTACTAATTAGCTGGAAAAAAGAAGCAATCTGGGGCAAAAAATGGTGCAATTCCTGCATAATTCAATCAGATTGCAAGGATCATCAATGATTTCTAAATGAATGTAACAAAGGAAAATCCCAACATTTTTCTCCTCTATCTTCATATAATTTGCATAACAAAGATGTGCTTGACTATAAAAGATAATTAAAGTTTATTGAATCATAGAAAACATCTTGTTTATTAAAACATACCACACTTGTATTGCTCATTTTGTCAACGTAAGACAGATTACTATGCTGTCAAAATAAAATCACACAACAAAATTGTGTCATTGCATAATTGTATCATTAAACAACAGTTATGGAAAACACAAAGCTATGTACAACCCTTATCAAGTTTTATTTAACCCTTTCACTCCCATGAGTGACTGCAGTAGAATTTCTCCTTACAATATCAATACAATATCAAGCAGACAAGTGGTGAGAATGAAGGAAATATCAATAAGAGAACTATAAGTTGATCCAATACCAAATTCTCTGAACTTTATCATGAGAAGTGTATGGCAGACAGTAAGGAGAATTACTAATGAGATCTTGGGAGATACTGCTGGACTCTGGGTCAAGAGGTCTTGGTTTGGTACAGTGCATGGTCATTGCGTTGTGTTCCTGGGAAACGCTCAAAACAACTCTCTCCACTCACAATAATTTAAATGGCTACTGGCAAACCTTCTGGGAAAAGTGACAAAATGCTGGCAGGTAAAGGTAGTTAGTTCTGTAGTAAATTTGCATTGCACACCCTTACTGTGTATAATTTTAGCCACCCACTTAGTTCAGATTATACATGTACATCTATTACACTTTGTAGCGACAATCTTGGTTTATACATCACTGATTTTAAAACTCCATGTAAAAATTTCTTACTGCTTTTCCTGGATCTGTGACTGCATTTAACCTGACCATCTCCACCAGTTCATAGTACAAGCCTCTTGTTCTCGAATCTCCAATAAAAGCCACTGGGTGATTCTGTAAACAAGTCCTCACTTCACTTCAAGAATAAAAATATTGAATAACTATTGTTAGTATCATCTTAGAAGATGTTATAAAGTAGAGACAAGGTTTTACCATCAAAGACTTAAGGTCTAAATAACCTGATTCCTAAATATACAGGAGCAAGAGTGATATACAAAAATGAAAAAAGAGGCTATATAAATAAATAAACACAAAAAAGGAAACAAAACTATTTAAACTAAAATCATGCAGATTCCAAGTTCACAGCATTTTACGAAATAGAGTTCTTTGCATGAAGTATTTTAATCACACTGAGTATTTTAATTGCGGTATACAACAAGAGGTATGTGATGAAAATTGATGAAAAAATTATGATATTGTGGAGCAGTGTTCTCCATTATTTTAAGCAAGACTAGTAAAAGAAAGTTTCAGACCAGGAGAGCAACTGTTAAACTGGAATTTTGGAGAATTTCAAGTGATTTTACACAGTAAGAAGAGGTACTACAGGCACTAAATTTCACCTGTAACAGCCTGAAAAGGGGAATAGTGTGGGGCTCATGACTGGTGTGCAGGAATATCAATCTTAACCCTTTAACCCTTAAGAGTGACTCGCATCTAATTTCTCCCTACAATATCAACCTCGAGGCACACATTTGGGTCACAAGAGTATAGGAAATGATCACCAACTGAAGAAGCTCTTGATTGTTAAACAAGTTCTCCTTGTCAGAAAGTTAGGAAACATGTAGAGAACAGTATGGAGAATATGCATACTGATGTTAGGGTGTAAAGGATTAAAAGTATGCCTAGCAACTTCTTAAAACATATATAAAATAATGACTTTCATGTTACTAACGTCAGTTAATTAATGTTAGCATTGGAAATAATATAATAACTGTGGCATTTCATTATAAGCAGCTCATTATAAGTAGCACGTCGTAGTAAGTGATGTATTGTGGGTAATGTGTTGTAATAGAGTGAATAAACTGTAAATAAAATGTCACTGTAAATAAAGACTTTAAGTGTATAATTCATTAAACAAAAAAATGAAAAAAAATTATATTATCTTTTAAGCAAACTATAGGAATTACAAGGATGAACAAAATACTAGGTTAAGATTTCAAACTGAATCATATGCAGAAGTAAGTATGTGCAGTATTTCTGTCAAATTAAAGGAACTTTTAAACAAGCTTATATCAACATCAAGCTACATCCGCAAGACGTATCCCTTTCAAACTGATCTATGATGTACATTGAGCTTGAAAGCAGCAGTCAAAATAAAGTGTACATACACATTTCAAGCTATCATGACTTCTGATCAGTAAACTTGCCAGCATACCTTGAAGTATAAGAATGCATCATACAACCACGAGGTTGCCAAAAGCTTCCTCTCCAGCGACCAGACTGAAACATAGCAGGGCAGGTACTAGAGCCTATTACAAAAAACCATATATTTTACTGATGTTTCAATAAGCCTTGACACCCTTATATCTGTACGCATATTCTACATACTGTTCCCTACAGCTGCAACATACTTCCTTTTTAATTAATTACAAGAAGTTGGTGCTAGATCAAGAAAACAACTTCTATATGATAAATTGAAGCATTCTCATTACCTTTTTCTTGGATAATGTATGGATATTAAAGGGAGAAGTTACATGTTAATCACTTCTGGGAGTTAAATGTTCTGCTAATATAATGCATCTAACAAGGTGCAAATGTGCATATACAAAATTTGTCTAGTTAGTTAATTAATTTACATGCGAGCAGTACTGTAAATAAAGCAATTGAATATTAGACCCTTTAATTGTGTTCTGTTTCAATTCACCTGATACAGCTCTAAAAAATTTTTAAAGTATTTTAGCATTAACCCTTTAACTCCCATGAGTGACCACGACAGAATTTCTCCTTACAATATCAATACAATATCAACCAGATAAGAGATGAGAATAAAGAAAAATATCAATTTGGAGATAATTAGTTGATACAATACTAAATTCTCTGCACTAACATTATAAGAATTGTATGGTTGACAGTAAGGAGAATTACAAATTTGATCTGAGAGTTAAAGGGTTAATTTCCTTCTAGTATTTCCTTTAGTATTAGACCCTTTATGCATTAATGTTTCTTAAAGTTGTTGTTCATGATTTTTTGTAACTGCACAAGATAGAAAATACTTTGCATTGATTTTCTAACCCTTGGATTAATTAACCCTTTGCCTCCTAGAAGTGACCAGCTTCTAATTTCTCCTAACAATATCAGCCTTCAATCAAATGTGAAGATAACGAGAATGAAGGAAATAATCACCAATGTAAGAAGCCCCTGATTGTCAAACAAATTCTCTTTGTCAGTACCATAGGGAATGTATAGAGAATAGTATGGAGAATATTCATATTGATGTTAGGATGTAAAGGAATGAATGTCAGCTCAAACGAGGCTTCTTTATTATGAATCATGACACTCTTCCTTAAGACAAGCTTTTACACACCGTCAGACCTGCTAAGGAAATAGATACCTGAACAAACTTTGAAAGAAGGGGATGCTGGATTGAATCATTTCATTTTTTGTTGCTTTAAAGATCAATGGCTTCCCTTAAAATACGAGTACGAACCTAGCTGGATTCCTTAAAAAATGTAGAAATATTTTCGTACATTTGTACTTTTAGTTATGTATTTCTTCGTTTAAAATAGATATGAACGAAACGATGTAAAGATCTGACGAGTTAACAAAAGGAGAAACACAAACACAGCAGGTGTTTCGCAATTTTTCTTCACTCAGAATTCCAGCTGTAAAAACACTATGATTAGTACAAAAATGTTTTGTTTACACTTCTCGGCAGTGCAGTTGACACGTGTCAAGTAATCCCAACAATAAACAGGGCCAATGAAGAGGAAATCTTGCTAAAACCAGGTACGAAAATACCTGAACAAATTCGGTTTCGATATGTCATTGTGTCACGAAATATGTGACAACAATTTCCTCTAGAAAAAAAGTTATCGCTTACCTTCTCGCTGGACACGCGCGAAATGAACGCAGATCAAGCATACCACAATGAGAAAAGCCAAGGTTTTACAGAATATCTCGATCCTAGAGGTTCCTGTCTGCTGTTTTTTAGCTTCTTTTCCGCGTTCAGAGACTTCTTTGGGATTTCTTTCCACATCAGAAAGGTGTAGAGTAGCGCCGGAAAGTTCTACGCTCACCGCCATCTTGAATAAGGAAACTTCTGCCCAACAGCCCTTGTCGTCCACGTCGGAACGAGAAGTATTGGGCCTAGGGAAAATTTTGAAGAGCTGCAGCTGACCGAAGCGATCCTTAGTAGAACAAAATAAACAACGACGTGTATTTGCCGTCTCAGTACGTTCAGCCAGACAGGACGTTTGTTATCTCAAGCTCCGGGATAAGACCCACTCTAAGTTGAGGATTTCATTTTCAAGCATGTCGTCTCGAACTGGCATTCTGCCGCGGGTCGAGATCAGCACTACTACCACGAAATGGCCGATGGCGAGGGAGAAGAGAGAGGGGAGATTTTCCCTTCCCCCTTTCCTACTGTCGCCACGCTGATGATGTGGAAATAGATTCAAGTTTAGCGAAACTTGTGGTAGAACCAATTTACAAGCAGTTGAAACCATAAAATAAAAAAACGTCTTTCTTTCTATGCAAACTTACACAGATTTGAAGATAGTTGTCGCGACAACCTTGTAAGCGTATCGCGTGATACTTTACTCTCTAATTTATTGATTAAGCTTGGGGTTTAATGATAATTGGGTTACATAAGATTTAGGTGTATAATTGGGTGTAGCACGGTAATGGCAGACTTGTAGCAAGAATGTTCGGATTGCGCACGGCAGAAGTGATACAGAAAACCAATAATGGTCTGAAACAATTAGATGAGAAATTGTCTCCGGAAATTGTGCGTGCGCGTTTGGGTTGGAACATTTTGTGACGTTGCGTGATGGGCCATTTGTGTCGCAAATAGTGCGTGCGTGCGGGTGTAAATTACAGAAGTGTTGATCGGAGTATAATGTAAAACAGCTGTTAAAATCAATTCAACATTAAATAGCTTGGAATTTTAGTAAATTACGAAAAAGTAAAGTCAATCTTGGTTTTACATGAGTTTAGGAGTGTATTTCCATTGTAATAGCAGATAAATAGAATCACTATCTTGTGACAGAGGATCGAGATCGATTGAATGTGGAAAGTACGGATATTGTATGGATTGTAAATAAACGCAAGAAATCGGAAAGATACAGTCCTATTGATTGTCGAACCAGCGATCCACAGAGATTTTCCTTATATTCTTTGGAAATCTAATTTCCATAACTTGACTTAGCCGCACAACTGAAAAGTTTTTCACTATGAACGATTTATCATAATGATTTGAACACTATCCGTAGCGATGATCTGCGATTGGTCTAAATGCGTCAAGCGACCAGGTTATATTACGAAATGCGTTCAAAATTTTGACCTTCGACATCAACTATTCCTCGAGGATTAGTTTGCTTGTTCACTTCTCGGAGCAGATGATCTTCACGGAAACTTATCCGCGCGTAATTTCGTGCCAAATGAAGACTATTGTTTATTCAGTACTGACGCTTTCTCCAACAAATGCTGCAATCCGATTGGTTACAATCATTATTTCAAAAAGGGGTACGTTTCTCGAGAAACTGTGGTGCTGTGTCGGTGGGAGGGTATAACAGGGTAATTTAATGTTATCAACGAGTTGATAACGTGAATTGGCCTCCATAAAGGGTTAAAAAGCTGACTTTTCGGGCGCTAGCCCTTAGGCATTCGCTCTGACGATAGGCTAACGCTCGAAACGTCAGCTTTTAAACTTACTAGCGTGCCAATTCACGTTATCAACTCGTTGATAAATAATCAAATTTATTTCATGTTGCCGTGCATGTTTTCAGTAATAGATCACAGATGACGTCAAAAATGTAATAGGAATAACCAAGTAGCACACGAGGCCGAGGCGCAGCCGAGTATGTTACAAGCGTTCTTATCATATTTTGACGCCTCCGTGATCAGTGATTACTAAACAGACTTACGACAGCATGGAAATCATTAGTTTTACATGATGAAAAAGCAAGATGTTGTTTATGATGACGTCATTTATGCGTCTGCCCTCCAATGCATCATGGGTAAGAACCAATCAAAATGAGAGCGTAATTCAGCTTATCATATCATTAATAAATCTATCATGTTATTCATTCCACATCTGTATCCCTTGGATATCAAACAATTTCTACAAGTGATATTTCTACAAATCCACATTCCCTGTACATACTCGGGCGTCATTTATTTTAAGAGCAATTTTCTCTAAATAAATTATATTTATATACAAAATGTACCATCACATTAGTGCAGTTTTTTAAATCATGACTTGTTTTCCCGTCATTCTCGGAAAATTACACGAGTAAGATCATTTGAACGCGGTTAAGTAACTTGTTTCACCGCGTTCAACACTGCCAAGGGCTAATTTGTTTTGCTCCATTCAAGCCCCAATTCATTTCCTTTAAAAGCGCATTTTTTGAGTGTTGCGAACTCAAAACGAAAGTTATCCCAGCAGTCCATAAAAAAATGGTCGATGAGAATTCAAATTAATTTGACTAGAGGTATAAATATTTAACAGCGTGTTTTTACAGGACTTTTTTTTTCTCTGCGGGAGCTTATTTTGACTATATATTGAATCGGAAAAAAATTAAAATCTTGCAACATTTTCATGCCTATGTTCTCTGATCACAGTGCGTCATAAAAACAAATGCATTTCAGGGTTAAATTGGACACTCAATTGAAAATTTCGCTATTGGTACGCCATTTAAAAAAGGAAATCATATGTTGTGTGGGGGGGGGGGAAGGGGACTTTAAACTTGTTATGACTTTGTAAGTTCATTTTACGTTCATTCAACAAACTCGCACTACACTGAAACTCTCCATTCTTTGTTGGAATAGTATTCCATTTATCCATCTGTTCCCTCTCATTGAAATACACTACAACTCGTGTTTTAAAGCCGATGGACCTATGCTTTTCATGAAGATTAAGCCTGCGTAAAGGGTACAAAGCATAAAACTTTATTCCCTATATCATTCATTTTCCATTTGTTTAGCAACGAAAATCAGCCAAGCTCGTTATTATAATTCGTGTATTTCCGGATGAAAATAAAACTCTTCCAAATGATCCCACTGTAATTCAGAATCGTATCCCTGACCTGCGGCGAATCGCATTCGCTCATGCGCAGATGCTTGAAACTGTTCACAACCGGGAGAGGTTCCATTTAAGGTGCACTCCACGTAATTGTTAATTTGTTTAGCCACGTAATCAAGGGGCGCAGGCCCCTGCGATAACAAGTAAAAGTGGAAGTCCCGTATGTCAAACTTTGACCCCAGTTTCTTCTGGGCGTTTTCTCGCATGTCTATAAAAGCCTGCTGGCCTATCATGTACGCAGTCGCTTGCCCAGGACCGCTCTGGTATCGTGTCACTTCCTTCAGAGCCACATCTGTGTCGTCCCAAGCGTAGTCGCTAAACAGCTGAATGGCTTGATCACGTGTCATGCCCATGAAATGTAGACCTGTGTCGACGATCAGACGTAAAGCCCGCCATACTTGCCATTTCAGCATTCCATATCGTCTCAGTGGATTGTCGTTGTAAACATCTGTGTGATAGTTAAGATCCTGCAATTTAGTAGAGTCACGATAGAATTTACCCGACCCCCTCCCCTAAGGATCTGTAATATCCTTATGATCTGCCCACAGTGGCAGGTAATTGGCAATCAATTTTCTATAGCCCCGCCTTATACTCTGTTGACGACGACTGATGTCCCCCCCTGTTCCCTCTGAAAAATATGTGATTGCCAAAACCCTCCGATCATCCTCCCCTCCCTCCCCTCCCAGGGGATAAATAGTAAATGGTCCCCAATAACATGTACTTTTTCAGTTCCTTTCACGGCAACGATACTAGGGACCTTAAGCAAACCACGACGGCGACGTCAACGAGGACGAGGCAAAACAAAAGATCTAATGAGTAGAACAATAACGTAGCAGGTGCGTTTTCAAATTGTGTACATTTCTTAGCTCTCCTCTTTAAAATAACGACATGAAATCATCAAAATTTGCCTGGTGTAGGAAAGGAAACGCTAACGGCAAACTATTTAAGTTTCCATTTGGAACTTAACGCCGCTCTCATACGTTATGCTGAGGTTAACTTGCAGCGCCGCACGAGATGATAAACACATCCAGTCATTCGCGAAATTCCAACAAAAAAATATATATTCATTTTTAAATCGACATCTTCCTTAGCGTTGCCGCCCTAACTGCTAAAGGTCCCTAATAGTTATAAGTGCGTGAAGCACTAATTGAAACCAACAGAGATGTCTACATGATTTGACAGTCAGTTATGCCTCAAATTTCCAAGACTAGTATTGTAAGAAACAATATGAACGCGAGGGGACTTTCATTTATGGGCACGGGATGCGTTTCACGAGCCGTAGGAGAGTAGGAGGAGAGTGCTATTCAAAAATATTTCAAAACATCCTATGCGAAATTAAATCATGAAATTCACAAACATTTTAATCGATTGTTATCCGTAAAGTTTTCAATGCCACTCTGTTTGTCTGCAGAGCATGATACTCGACAAACTCTTGAACAACGTTTTCTTTGAATTGAACTTTGAACGGATCTAAAACCAACTTGAACTATGATCAAGATAACTCAGAGTCGCTCTGAGGTACTCAGTCAGGGTATTAGGTTTAAAATGTATCAAATCTTACCCGTTTCCTTAGCAACAAGAGGATTCTCGGCATAAAGTGCCCACCCCTCAGAGTAAGCAATATATCTGCTCTTGATCAAGACACTTACTACTGGGCCGCACCAGTCCCTGCGCAGATAAAGCAAAGGTGACGTAACTTAGAAACATACATTGGAAAAGAAGACGGCGCTCAGATTAACGCTTAACTTTATCTACGGGCTAGAAATGAAAAGAGAAAGAGGGCTCACGACGCTCTTCTAGGAATATCAGTACATCTAAGGTTCCGTCGGCAATTTTACCCTTAACGTGTGGTAAATTGATGGACTTGGTTCACGAATGAAACTTACAGAAAATTTTCCACGTAACCTTGAGACTGTAGGTGGTGACCAGGCCTGGCTTCGTGAGCACTCGTCGTCCACTCGGAATACTTTGGGCCCATTCGGTCCAGAAAGAAAGGTATTCGGAAAAACGCCGGTTTCTTGCAGGTCCGATAACTTGTAGTGTAAGTCTGTGCCGAAGAAGTCGGCATAAAATTCACTGCGATGGCAACAGGGCAAACGGGCGTGGTCTTCCGGGGGCCTAGGGGCCAGTGGAACATCTGCAAGAGCTTGGGCTCAATTTGACTGAGAGTGCTGCGAGAAAACTTGAACCATCGTTGCATAGCGGCATAGCGCACTGGACAGAATTCCCGCGCAGCTGAAATTTGAAAGAATAAGCGCATCAACAATTTTTAAAAGTTGTAGTGTCTTGCAGATGGCCCAGGTTCCAGAGGAGCCGTCTGAAGTTGAATATTGGATCAGACAGCCCGACAGTAAGCAATTGAAATTATGCGGTTTAAGCCTACGACGCTGTCATTTGTAAAGATTCAAAGGAAATACTAAGCAGCACAGGTGGTGTTTTTTTGGTCACGCCTGTCATTATCAGTTCAGTCTACAGCCAATTGGTAGCGAGTTTAAGATTTTGAGTAGTCCGAATTGGCAGCACAACTCGTAATCTGAAACGGTTATTGAAGGCCCTTGAGGTGAACCAATGATTGAAAATACAACAAATAAGTCAATTTTCATTGGAGTTTCGAAAATAATTCCGGACTGCTTTAGTTTTGTCTTATACCGATGAGTGATTAGTAAAAAAAAAAAAAAAAAAACTCGCGCCGTCCTCGTTAAGATATTTTCAGATTCCTCAACTGTAACAAAGAATCTTCTAAAGTTTGCCTCGCTCCCAAATTGAGGCTCGTAGCTTAATTGGTGGTAGCCCTCAACTTGTATCTAGGAGGCCTGGGTTCAAATCTCCTCAAAGCCTGAATTTTGGCGGCCTTCGTTTCTGCATTCTTTATTTGCAGCTTAACTGCGATGATCATTTCTTTCCTTCTATTGCTAGGTGAGTTGGTAAATCCCATGTTGAGATTGGAATCTTTACTCCACGTGAAAAAGGACCGAATGCCTCGTTAGAAATTGTTCTGGTTTAAGTCACACTACCTTTTTCACTGTTGCACTTCCTATGAGCTCTCTCGTCTGATTCGTTTTTGGGGAAAGGTTGCTCATTGAAGAACATTGATGGTGAATGGACTAACTTTCGAAATGACTCCACAGCTTTGCTTTCGTTTGTGAATCCCGTCACAGACTTGGCTATGTCTAAAACTTGAGGATAAATAGACTCTAACAAGGACCAACCAAGTTTGTAAACAGATTCTGTGGAAGTGAAAAAATGACTGAAGATCAGGTTAAGTGATAATGTATTCAAGGGTGTACCCAAGAGGTCCTAAGGGTCTCCCCCATAAATTCCCCCCATTGTGGTGTAATTTTTTTCGTCAAATACTACACCACAGGTTTGCAAAAACGCGCAAATCCTAGGAATCTACGTAGCATTAATTTTTCTAGGGCTAAGTACTCCACTTTCTCAGTCTCTTTCGCATAGTTTAATCGCGCTTTCTTGCCGTGAAGCAAGTTGGAACAATGGTAACATCAACATTACAGCGTCTGCTAAATGACTTACGCCCTGTCAGTTCATAGTTGTATGAAGGGACAGCACTGAAGTGACTTTCCCGCGCATACAACAGTCACGTGACAGCTGCACATGCTACATCAACTGCTATAATACACCTCATAACTTTTGCTGCAGCGGAATTCATTTGAGTTAAGAGGAAAAAAGTCAAGTGGTCAGAGGTATGAAAAATTATATAAGGAACTGCGTTCACTTACCAGCTGTGTGATTTGTTGTTGTAAAAAATCGCATAGTTCTCTCGTACCCAGCCTTCCCATCGATTATTTCACCGCTGGGCAGTTTCCTACTCGCGGGCTTAGAAACATCAGCAATCCCGTTATAGTACACATAATGCAACGGGCGATTAAACAGTCCGCTGGAAACGTTACTAGGCACACAATGCTTCATGTGATCCCCCTTAAGATATCGCATTAAATTCACCAAAGGAACGCCCACGTAACTAATCAAACTGTCCGCCATCGAGTACTCTAAAGACACATTTTCTCTCCGTGACCACAGCCCTTCCACCTTCTGAAATCTTTGGTAAAACCTATACGTCAGAAATGGATCTGAGAATGATTCCATCATGATGTCTTCTTCCCGTAGACTGTCCCCAATTTTCGGATACATCTGGGTTAAACAATCCAGTCCCACTCGACACTCTTCGACAGAGCCTACCATTCCAGTTCTGACTCCACGTTCGATGTTCTCTCTGTACTGCTCAATTCCTCTTCCAAAGCCTTTTAGAACTTCAATGATGGTCTGCATATCTTCTATTGTTGATGGGGACAACTTTTTCAAGAACATACGAAAGTGATATGGTAGTCTGGCAATGACATCCACGTAACAAAATCTGTTTGGGCCGAGCATCCACTGACCTGGAAAAGTAGACAAACGTTTTCAAACACTAGAAATCCCCAAAATATTTTCCTTTTCTGACTTAGACTATAAACAGTCCTTCCTTCCTAATGTACACTCTGCGCGGAGTTCTCAGAGCCAGACGCTCGAAAAAAGGGGTCACCCCTAGACTTTCCCCAGGCGCGCTATCACCAATTTTTTAATTATTTTTGTTTACTTGAGGGAAAGACTTCGTTGAAAAGTAGGAACTGCTTGTAGTCTATTTCTGACCTGGATCAGTGAACTACAGGCAGAAGGTCAGGCAATTTCGAGCGTTCCAGAAGACGTTTTCGTTTCCTTTGAATCCTTTTCATTCTTAGTCACCCTTGCTGATACCTTACTGGGTTGAAATGAACGTAACTTCCTTCAAGCCGGAAGCAGTTTTCAAAGTTGTGCAAGAACTGTTACCTGTCACATGTCACGTAACACGCAAGTTGGGTTTCCATAGTGCATTCAGTATCAATTTTATTAACCATGTGCTCGAATAATCGGCCATGTAATAAGTAATAATTATCAACATGGCCGATCAGTCGAACAAGTGGTTAATACAATTAATACTGAAATGCACTATGGGAAACCTAACTTGCGTGTTGCGTGAAACGTGACAGGTAACAGAATCATACAGAACAACTTGACGCTAAGAACTTAATTTGAACTTAAAGCAAACTACAGAATACCGTTAACACTCAAGTAAGCCAACCTATTCCCCTAAAGAAAACTCCAAAGTAAAAAGAATAAAGGGGCAAGTTTCTAAAGAAACTGTGGTGCTGCGTTGGTTTTCAAAGCTTAACTCTTTACGGTGGCCAATTTACGTTAACAACTCAGTTGATGATACTAAATAACCCTCAAAAGTAAAAACACAGGGTAAAACAACAATGTTATAGAAGGCAATTGGTTTTGTTTTAATTTGCGCAGTGATTGGTCCAAAAAAATTTGCACCACCTTCCCAACCAATCAGACGTAGAACTGAAATCAACAGCGTCTTCATCACGAAGTTTTCCCGCGCTTCGTTCGGTTTAGTCTTGAATGTGATTTGTAAGGCAGTCGCGCGAGTAGTCTTGATCAATCACAGAACGAAATAGAGCATAAAGTAATCGTGGATTACTTTCCACACTCAATTGAAAATTGCTTTATAAAGACACAGTAACTAAGTCTGTACCTGAATAATAATCAAAATTATAAACATTGCCAAAATTATGCGCTAGGAAATGTTTCATCTCAGCCAGTGCTTTTGCTTCTCTCGTCTTCAGCAGCCCAATGTTAATATGTAGTTTACTGAGCTCTTGTAATAATGACCTTGATGTGTCCGTGATGTCCTTTATACTGGAAGGAATCGGATTAAATGCTTTGAAGTTCTTTCTGACATCATCCGTCGATACTCGTGGCTTGTAAGGTACTTCATAAGGATGCAGCTTGTAAAACGTTTCTTTCAACTTGTTTACAAATTTTAGGAGGCCTGCAAAAACAACAGAAAGAAGTTTAGAATCTTTTCACACACAACGAATTTATAACATTTAACAGTGTCTCTACTGGAGATAAATTTTCCCAGTTTTCGTCTACACCAACAATTTTGTTTTGCTTTGTTTTGCGTGACAATAATAAATCAGACTCGCTTTGCTATCGTGCGATTAAATTAATCAGCCACAGAGAACATAAATTGAATGCTTTACCTGTTAACCCTCCACATCCTGATATCAGTATGTATATTCTCCATACTGTTCTTTATATATTTCTTTAGGTACTAACAAGGAGATTTTTTTTTACGATCAAGAGTTTCTTTACTTGGTGATCATTTCCTTAATCGGTCGTCACCTTAATGATTGATTCAGGGGTGATATTGTAAGGGAAAATAGGATGCTAGTGACTCTCAGGGATCAAAGAGTTAGAGAGTTGTGTATCTTATTCTGAGACGAAAACTGATCTTGTTTCTCTCTCACTACGAAAAAGGAGAATTGCAATAACGGGGAATTCCCTCGAGTGTAAATATTGCAATTTTAAGATAAATTCACGACCGTGTGGTTTTTTTTTTTCTCAAGTGTCTCGAAGCATCTAGAATTACTTCGCAGACCTAATTATTATTTAATTGTGGAAAGAGCGATGTGTGGCGGTGATAATATCTTCAGGCGTTGATTTGCCTTTAATAACCGATGTTGTTGTCATTTGTGAAAAAAGGAATTGCGCAAGCAAAAAACAGGAACACGTTGACTGACAAATCTATCGCATTTCACTTCTCGCATGAAACACATGGAATCAAAAAAGGTTTATCGTGTTAGTGTTATAAATGAGATACAAGGATTAAATTTGGTGCATGTCTTTTACGCTACAAATCGCTCATAGACTATTTTCAAAAACCCACGCTTTCTCTTTATTAAAATCAACACCTACTCAATTTTTTAAATACCTTCTTAATAACCCAGGAGCGAAAATCCTAATAAATACAAAGTATTTCGAGGAACTTAAAAGATGTAATGTCGTGGGTTTTAGACAATTAAGATCAAAGCCATTGAGGAGTGCATGCATTCGTGGGCGATTGTCTGCGGGTGAAAATGTAGACTTGCTTAATTCTGTTTTCTTACTTTCGTGTACCATTCTTGACTGCTTTCATGAAGTACCGGGCGAAAGGTGATTCCGAAAAACGGCAGCAGCCAATCGGAAAAAAGTAAAATAGAAAATACCTTTTAGAGCTATTAGGAACTCTTTGCGGTAAAAACAAGCAAACCGCCTCGGGTGCGGAAAAACGCGAGCGTGATAGGTTTAAGATCTGCATCTCCTCCACTCATGCTCAAAAAATTTAATTCCAGATCTCCTCAATTCTGAAATCAGCCTGAAAGAAAAATTGCTTTGTCTTGCTCAGCGTTTGTTGATTATGAAATCAATATTCACGCCCGTAGAGTCACATTTTCGAAAGAGGCACTTGAATATTAGCCTAGTTATACTACTCAAAATCGGCCAATATAGGTCAATAACTAATTATATCGCTCGATTTTGTATGGCAACACGTGAATTCGTAAAGCTAAAAATTTTGTCCGTAATTCGACTCTGCTAATTCAGAGAGAAGAAATTTTAGTTACAGGAGACCTACTTCTCGTTTTCAAAAAGACAAATTAACTTTACATGTAGTTCTTGTACAAGCAGAATTGAATTTTTGCCATGTTCTCAGCCGATGTAGTTGCAGTTGTGTACAGCATAGTCTTAACAAGATATGAAATTATACCACAAAAGTTGAAAAAAAAAATAACGGAAACTTTCCTTGCATGCAAGCGCAGAAAAAATCGTGCTCTGTTGCGTTTTGGGGCTTCATAGCTTGACCCGTCCACGCTTGTGGTAAATGGAGAAAGTGTCAATTAAGTCTCTAATTTTCCTTTCCCAGTGTGGCCCGTTCTGCTGATATTTTACACTTTCTATTTTTATCCTCTGTGTTTGTGTTATGGCCCTAAGTGTTGCTAAAATTAAGTTTAGCTTTCAATATCCATGTACTCTCAACTTTTACTGAAAGGTCAAAATTGTCTGGGTACCCGCTCGACTTAATACGCCTCGACTTCTCACTGGAAAGTGTTGAAGAAATTGAGAGTAATGTTTCCGAACCTCAGCTTTCTGTCAAAATTTTGCTCCATATTTCTCTTCAGTTAAATTTTTAAAAAAATGACTAATTATTATGGTCGGGCAGAGTGCAGCGACAAGGTCTGTTCTGGTTCATAATGGTGTTAGTTAAAAGTAACTGTGGAATAAAAATTAAACACGAAAAGGATCATGGACAATATAGACTTAAAATTTTATAGCCGTATCATTCCTGCTTTTTTCTTAAATTTTTTTTCTTCGTTTTTTTTGGTACCAAACCAAGGCGAATATTAAAACGGAAGGAGACCCATTAAGAGGCAAATTAAAAACTTAGCTTCTAAACGATGATAGCGTTAGCATTGCGCAACTTCAATTTAAAGTTTCAGCTATGAAGTTTAGGTCACGAAAACGCTTCATTACGTGTCATTCGATTGAATTCCAAGAATCGCTTATTGGCACCATACAATCTACTCGTATTAATCGATTCCTGAAGTACTGACGCCTGTGCGTCGCTTTGAAAGAATGGCTGTTTTTTTTATTTTTTTGTCTTGCGTTTTTTTGTTTCAAAATGTATGTGTTAGCAACAACTAATTTAGTCGCCATTAAATATATTTTACCAATGAGTTAATGCTTCTTTGCTCGACGATGTGTCCATTTTGTATGAGTGACTAACGACTTTGGGTACGCTAAAAACAAAAATAAATAATTGGATTTCGAGGGAGAAAAATTCTGCTAGATGAATAACAGAACGGCGGCAATCAGTTGATAACTTACAGTCTATCGCACAATACCCAATCGATTACGATTATTTGGTAATTATTACTCTCTCTCCAGTCAGCAATGTCATTTAGAGTTGTTTTGCCTTCGATTGTTCCTGATTGATAGCCGAACTGGTTAAAAACAGCTATAAAATTCTTCAGACGTAAAGCAGATACGGTCATTAATTTTCCTAACAAAAGAGAATTTGACAGACTAGCTCATTAGGACGGAAGAGCAAATCTGAACCTTTTCACTGGCATAACTTGGAAGTTTATTGTCCTTCTTCGTTGTAGAATGCAAGAAAAATCTTTCCTCATGGCACTCCATTTATCCTCTACCTGAATATTAAATCATTTACGTTTTTTTCTGGTTTTTATCATTTTAATCAAAGCAGTGACGGCAAAAGAAAGTAATATCTAAGAGCTAAATAGGTGAAGAATTCGCCAGCAATGGCGAATCGAGTTCAGTCAAATTTAATTATAGAATTGTTGAACTTTGCGAACAAACTAATCATCACTTTGTTGACTTTTTGCCCTTCAGTATCATGACACTCTGACAACTAATTTGTAGCTTGAGGAAACAAGTTTGGTGATATATGATTCAAGATGTTTGTGCGGAGGCCCGAAAGGGGAACATTTTCCACTTCCTTTTAGAAAAGTAAAATTATTTTCATTTCATCTCGCAACGATAAACGAACCAAAAAAAAAACGCTTCTTGAATACGATTCAAAACACGACTTTCAATTATTCCTTTCACAAAAAGCATAAACAAAAAGTTAAAAGGATATATACATGATGAAAGTCAGAAATTAATATGGTTGTGTTATTTTTAGATTGTAATATACAGAGGTCTGTTATAAACGTTGTAAGATTTCGAGATCTTATGCGAAACGAGCTTTTTATTCTTGTACAGTGACATTGCAAGTCTTGACAAACTCATTTTGGTTTGACCTCTGACATACTAATTGACCAAAAACTACTTTAGCTCTCTGTTTTCGAGTTATATCAGAAAACGATCCGTTAATTTGAATTGTAAAACAACTAATCAATGGTTCTCACTTTCAATGAAGGCAAATTTTGGTGGGTGGGTAGTAAATTGCTTCGCTCCTACGTTAGAATAACTTTTAATGCAATAACACAACACTAATGTAACTTGAAGTGTACCTGATTTCTTAAACTCTTCGGAATAACTGCAACTCTGCGTGAAATTCGTCGTTTTTGTTATGACGCTCGTTTCACCTCCATTTGAGGCACAATTGTTGTCGGGCTTCGTAGAAATATGCTCATCGAGCCTGTTCATTCGAAGCAAAGCAATGCCGATGACCAGGCAAACAAATCCGGTAACTGCCACGGTGCAGGCAAACACCAAAATCTTTCGCGATATCTGCCGTTCCTTTCGTAGTGCTTGGACTTCTGAATTCTCCAAATCCCCTGAAAACTGGTTGCTCCGAAGAAACTGTAGTTCATGGTTCACTGATCCCATCTCGAGTTAAGCCTCTTGTAAAACTTCAATCCAGGGTCTACAATTCGTGTGACAAAGCTTTCTTGTTTGGTACTTCGTGGCCGGGCTCAATCACTTCTCGCCCTTGATAATTACGGCAATAATTTTAAAAGTTAAAAACTGCTAGCGTCCTATGAGTCGCCTCTTAAGGACTAAAACCTCTGCATCCCTCCAATGTGTTATCGAAGTCGCTTTGAGTTTTTTCCCTACAATGTAAATGAAAGTAAAGTTGAGGTTGAAAGGTATTCGTCAAGCAGGCAAATCCGAAGCAACAAGACAATTAACTTAATTACTTAATGGCCAGCTCAGAAAACACACACGCTGTGAGTCGAAGGTAAGGTCACCTTTCCTCAAAACAGCGGGCAAAGATCTTGCTGTGATGAAGTGGCAGTGATGAATTGACATCCAGATCTTGCAAGAACTAGCGCTGCAACAACTGCAACGAACCGTGCCGCGAGAAGGCATTCGGTCAATAACAAGTCTGGATAGTTGATCAACTATCTTGCGTAATAAAGTTGCGTTTTGGTCCGGTGAGTCTAATATAATTTTAAGCTACGAAGGGCAAAAATTTCTACTGATAAGTGAGGCAGACATATGGAATCACCCCTACATATTGGCTGAAATGTCCATGAAAATTTCTACCCTCAAAATTCAAAACCTGATTAAAAGGATTAATGATCCCTCGACGATAAAAAAAAAAACTTCCCTGTCACTGGAATATCGATGTGAATGAAATTCTTAAGTGGTAAAGAGTCTAAAAGGCAATTCTTCCCCCAAAAAATTACAAATATTCAATGAAAATTACTTACGCCGAGGAGCAAGTGAATTATTAGACTTTAAGTCTCCCTAGTGACGTTCATTTATGCGAATTTCAAGTCCTTAAAGGTTCATTCCATTTTAATTGCTTAAAGACAAAAGCCTGACACATGTAAATTTTTCTCCTTCAGGCTGGTCTTGATACAATTGCTTTTATTGAAAAAACATGCAAAAGTAAAGATAACATCTTCATGCGGGAAACAATTACTCCAAAGAGGTCGAGAACTCACGACAAAAGCCGTCGATTCGTCAACAAAGTCGACGTGTTTTCGCCTTTATCAAGATTAGCGGCCTAAAACTCGAAGAAAATTTCAACTTCCTCCCTAACTTTGAAATTCCATAATGTTAGGAGGACGGAATGAAAAAAACAAACAATTAATAAACGACATGAAAGATATTTGACATTGGTGCGGTGTCCAAAAGGTTAGCACCTCACGTATACACCTCCGGGCTCTTCACGACGCATGCTCAGTTGATCAGCCCCAAGTCACACAGAGAAGAGTTGAGCGTTTTGACGGTAACTGAAGAGATTTTCGCCGCGCAAAACAGGAACTGTACAACGAAAATCATCGACACCACGCATAAAACGAATAAACCGTTCAATTGGTTTGCTGCTGATCTGAATGACGATATGGAAAAATGTAGATTTTGCCAAAAATTAAGTGTGTTAAAGAGACCGCAAAAGAAGGATATTGTATTTTCTTTTCAACTCGCGCGCTGTTATTCGAAGACTCCGGCAATTGTCTTGGCTTAGCGCCGAGTCTGCCCAAGAGACATCTTTAAAACCCCCTAAAAACTAAATATTGATAAAATTCATGTCAGATCAGGCTTAATTACCTCCTGTTTGCGAAGTTTATGTCAAAAGCTAATTTTTAAAAATTAATCGTAAGGCGGGTGCATACAAGTTTAGAAAACCAAAAAAATTTCATCGCATGTACTATGCCACTGTTATATTTTGCTCAATTTTTTTTTTGTCTTTTTTCATTTTGGATCCCGGAACATTTCAAGACAAAAAGATCAAAACAACCGATTATTCACTGAAACTTATATTCGATTGTACCTAAATATAGCATGTCTTTTTTTCCTTGTCATTCATTTCCTCTGCAAAAAAAAACCGTGAAACAAAACATGTTTTTGATTTCAGCTCATGTTTTCTTTTTTTCATGGTTACGAAAGGAAATTAAAAGAAGAAATTACTTCCTCCTGTCGTCCACACTGGTCCTCTTTGATTCCTCACCCTGCATAATACTTTTGACTTTTCCCCTTTGATCTTATGTCTGGATTTTGCTCACTTTCGGAGATGCGAAATCTGTAAGACTAACAATCTCGAGCTCAGTTTCTGTGCGGATTTGAAATTTGAGATGATGGTGGACACAACGAAATAAAGGAAAACAAAAACAAACAAAGTAAAACGACACATAATAGAGACAAACAAAATAAACAGTTCTTCTATCATACAAGCGCTTAAAAACTAAAAACCAGTCCCATTGGTCGTATTGGATGAAAAAGAATTTACCTTGAATGGAAGGAAACATCTTAACCCTTTAACTCCCAAGATCTGATTGTTAATTCTCCCCTGTAGCTGCTACACATTTCCTTGTAAATTAGTTATGAGAACTTGGTGCTAGATCAAGATAGCAGCTTCTACCTGATAAGTTTGGATATTCTCATCACGTGTTTGCTGAAGAATGTATGGATATTGTAAGGAGAAGTTTTATGTTAATCACTTCTGGGAGTTAAAGGGTTAATAACAATTGGCTGAGTAGATTAACAGCTAATAAGAAAGGATAAACCAAAAAATTGAACAAGAATGACTAAGGATGATGAAAAGCAATGAGATTAGACGGCACAAGTTTTCCACTCTAAGGTGTTACATTTAGGCAAAGGGGGAAAGGGATGGAAATATATGTTGGAAAGATAAAAATAACCATAAGTATCCCCCTCCAGGCCATGTAAATAGCAAGTGACCCTCCCTTCTTTATTCAATATTTATGCAATGACCCACCCCCCATCACCTCTTATATCTCCTTATATGCCTGGTAACTATTAAAATCCATGACACATACAACTGTAAAATGGTTACTGGTTACTTTGCACAACACCCACCTTGGGCAATGGACCACTCTTAAAATGTACCTCAAACTACAGCACCCCTCTAAACTTCTCAATAAAAAGTTTAGGTCCCACCCCCCCTTTTGCCAATCTGAAAAAGCTTTGACCCCCCCTCCTCTGCCTCTTCATAAATCACCAGTCCCTGAAATCTGGCATCACTTTCTCATCCCAGGTCTCTGTAATGCAACTCAACTACTGTCTACCTTGTGATTTGACCAGCTCCTCCCAATTCATCTCTACCTGCCATGCACAGTGGATACTACAAGCATTGTTAGATAGAAAATTGTACAACCCTACCCAAAAAAAAAAGGTGAAAGGTCTAATTTCAATAACTTTAGAGGAGTGTTTTTTTGTTGTAAACATTAGTTCCTGCCATAATCAGATTGACAAATAGATTCCATATTTAATTTCATATTTTCTGTGATGTAATGCATCACAGATGACATAAGAACAAAAATGTGGCACACAGGCACAGCCAAGTGTGTCACTAACATTCTCACCATATTTTTTACATCTTCTGTGCACTACATGTATTACCACCAGTGAGGACTCATTGCAACATGGAATCTATTTGTTTCATACAATAAAAAAAGAAAGGTGTTGTTGATAATGACATCATGAATGTGTCTGTTCTCCTGTAACTCACAAATAAGAACCAATCAAAAACTGTGCATAATTCAGCTGATGACCATTTAACCCTTTAACTCCCAGCAGTGATAAACAAGTAACTTCTCCTTACAATATCCATTCACTATCCAGCAAACAAGTAATGAGAATTTGGTGTTGTATCAGGATAACAAGTTGTTATCATTTGATATTCCAACTTGTTTGTAACTGGATAACAAGATGGACAGCTAGAAGAGAGAATTAACAATCAGATCTTGGGAGTTAAAGGGTTAAACATTACTACATAACTTTGTGTCATTCAATGTTGTGGAAAAATTAACTGTTATGCCAAAATGGTACTTACTCTATGATGTCATTGCACTGTTTGATTACAGATGAATAGTATCATTCTTTTACTCCTAACTGTCACAGCCATGCTGGTTGGTCAATGTCATTTCAGCCATGTCTTTCGTCAACAACTCTTGACACACAGAGTGCACTTGTAAACTCTCTGTCCAGTGCATTATAGCTGATGCCTTTGAAGATCCTGCTTATGACAAAAAGACTTGTCACAAAGAGAACAAGGCAATGGTCTCACTGGCACCATGTTTTGCAAAGTGCCACCTCAGGTTTGACAGCTGAATAAATCCATGTCTAAAATGCTTCACTAGTGAGGTTCTTATCTGTAAGAGTTTTCGTGTGTCTTACTGAGTTCCCCCAATCTTGAGTGTCATTGTTGCATCTTGAGCTGGTATTGGAACATGTAGGTTTTCTTGCACTCTGCCCTTTCACAAAATGGACTTTGGTCTTATTAGTCAGTGGTGTAAAAGTGTTTGTAATGAAAATGACCAGCAGTTTGTGTTTGAAAAGTTTTTCCACATTGGTCACACACAGAAGGTCTCACCTTCCTGTGTATTCCCTGATGAGATTCCAAACCTCTTTAGTGTTTAAAGAGATCTCACAGCAGCCACAAATGGAACACCTTTCCATACTTTGACAAACTGGCAGCTTCAAAGGCGTGATCCATTCTGGAAAGAGCTTGCCACAATGATTAATCAATGACTGTGTAGCCTCCATTTAATTTGAAAGTCCTTACCACAAGTATTACCATACCAAATTTTATTGGTATTGACCTTTATTGCATGGTAGAGCTCTTGTGTATATGACTGTCTGTGGCTTAGAAACACTAAAACATTTTTTAAATATTTTGCCACACAAAAACATAATGGTAAGAGGTGAGAATTTCCATGCCTTGTCAATGATATTTGCTTACCAAGTGTTCATTGCAGTACACATGTGTGTGCACTTTCACATTTGTCTTTTCACAAGCACCAGTATTTTTGCATTGTTCAAGCAGTGCTTCACCCTTAAAGACTTTTCACCCTCTCCACATTCTTTAGCATACACAGTTTCAGCAAACCTTTATCTTTCCTCTTCCAATCTGTTCTCCACTTGATGCTCTTCGCCTTTTAGCAGTAAGGGCAAAATTGTCAATGTTATCCATGCGTGAATACTTGGTCTTCACATCAGGACTAGAACAAGAGAAAAAATTTTCAGACAGTCTGATTGTCTTGGAAAGATTTGATAGCTGGAGACTGAGTTCCCTACTAGTTAGCACCCTAGACTTCAGGACCTAGTAATTCAGAGGGCAGAAAAAGATGTCGAACTTATGAATCATCACGAGTGTCAACAAGAGGTATGCCTTTAAGCCCAGTATGGCCATTGTGTTTGTTCTCAGGCCACACACTTTACACTCATGGTGCCCTTCTCCAGTCAATGGGCTAGATGTCTGTGAAGTGCCAAGGAGAGCTGGTAAAATTCTGGGGGAGGGGAGGGGAAGAAGGGGAGAGGAGAGAAAAGGGCAACCTATGGTGGACCAACATCCAATCCATGCAAGGCAGCTTTACTCCCAGCACCTTTTGTGTGGTCTTGGGTGGTGACTAAGTTAACACTTTACCTACCAGAAGTGATTAACATCTAACTTCTCCTAGCAATATCCATACATTATCCAGCAAACAGGTAATGAGAATACTCAAACATATCAAACAGAAGTTGTTGTCTTGATCTAACACCAAATTCTTGTAACCAATTTAAAAGGAAATATATTGTAGCTGGAGGGGAGAATTGACTATCAGATCCTGGAGTTAAAGGTTTAAGTTCCAGGGCTGGTGTGCCTAAGGCCACTGGACCTGAGGGTACACTTCATCATTTTTCACACATGCAACTGTCAAAAGCAGAGTTGAAGTACCAAAGACTCTTCTTGAAATGGCCCTGAATATGAACACCCTGATTTCTGAGAATCTAATGCATATCCATAGGCAAGCAGGTGTGAGAATTCATAAGGTTCAGAAGTTCATATCCTATGTTGTGACTGATGGTGTTTGATAAAATTTATTTGTTTCTGCTGATAGATGTGTGATATTAAATCAATGATTGACAGAAGCATGAAACAAGACTGAAACAAAAAAGAAAAGGAAACCATTGAGAGAGTTTATCTGGTATCAGACTACAAGCAGTCTTTTTTGGCAAGGTCTATTGTGCATGTCAACAAAATAAGCAAAAAAAAATTAATGATAGTGCCCACATTGAACTATGGGAGTTAGCTGCACAGAAGCAAGCTAACAGCATTTAAAAGAACAAAGTGTAATTAAAATGGAAATCTGCCTTCAAGTATGGCACTCAAACAGTCCTCATCTAGTTATAAAAGAAACACCTGGAGGGCCAGGTTCGTTTAACATAAGTCTGCTGACTTAATATTCCACCACAATGCTGATGTGTGTGGAAATTACCAGGACACATTAATTGGGGTTCAACAAGAGTTTTGTTAAACAAAATATTTTGTATCTAAGGCTTTTTCTAAAGCCAGTTGGCAAAATATCAAGAATGTAATTTCCAGCAATAGATGCTTCATTGCCTCAGTCTGCTCTAGTTGCAGTGAAGGTATTGTGGGAAACTGACATAAACATTCCTGCTGCTCATTAACCCTTAAACTCCCATGAATGACCAAGAGAGAATTTCTCTTGACAATATCAATACAATATCAACCAGATAAGTGATGAGAATAAAGAAAATTATCAATTTTAGGATAATTAGTTAATCCAATACTAAATTCTCTGAACTAAAATTACAAGAGTGGTATTGTTGACAGTAAGGAGAATTACAAACTTGATCTGGGAGTTAAAGGGTTACTTACAATTAAAATTGAGTGTTGACAACGCATGGACACGCATGATGGCCTATTGACAGATGTTCAGCTGATATCCTATAATATTTGTACATTGTGAGCACAAAACAAGGGTCAAACTCTCTGGTTTAAAAAATAAGGATTCGATTTAGCTTCCTCCTGCCAATAAGCGCTCCCTCTCTAAAAAGCGCCCCCCTCAAATTTGTTTTTTTTACTGCAATCTTTGCTCGACAGCGAAGTCTTCCATTTCTTTGCTGAGTCGCTCGAGCAAGGTTTCTTTAGAACTGAGAGGGTGCTTAATAATGTTCAAAAAGGTTATTTCTCACGTTTTTGATTTGAGTAGCATCGAATCCGTTGTCTTACTTACTAAACAAATACTTTGCCGGATAACAAACAAACTTACCTTCCAATCTTTGCTTTCTTCCGATTGCCATGTACCCTAACCTTTCAAAATAGTAGAAAGATACTTCAACTTTTTTAGGTGACATATCTGAGCTTTCTTTCACTGTACAAAGGTAGATAAGTCTCCAAATCTCACATCAAGGACTTACGTAGTGGAGATCGATTGAAAATCCCGCCTAGCCAACCAATCATTGATAGATTACGTGACAAAATCGCGTGACAAACCACGTGACAAAATCACATGGCAAAATCACATAGCAAAATCACGTGACATAGACATGCCGTCCAAGCAATCGATAAACTGATCTTAAAATACTTGAGGTAATATTTCAGCACGTAGGGAAAAACTTTCCTCACGGATTGCTTTCCCAAGTGACAAACCTTAACCACGCAAAAATTCCAGTAGAGCAGGGTCATAATGATCCTCTGAACTGGGAGAGAACTGAAAGAAGGTACACTGTGAAAATAATTAATTAGTGGAAGGTTTATTAAATAAATAAACCCATTTCTGGCTTACTATTATGTTGGCTGAGAAATTGTCCTCAAAATTTCACATTTTCATTCGGCCAAATGTTCATTTTTCGGACAAATCCATCAACCGTTGACACTAATTGCCAGCCGACATACAAGTACCAGCCGACCCAAGAGGTTTATTTACTGCCTGTTGGATACCAATGTTAAATATATATGCAGATAATTTCTCTTAATATATAGAATATAACTTGATGCCTAAAAGTTTGACATTAAGCGTAATCGCAAGTTCCTTTCAAAATTGTACGACCGTATTGAGCATGAAAGCCGTTTGCGGACATGTACATATTTCGATTATGTAGCTAGTATACACGTATGTCAAATTGTCTAGTAACGCTGAAAGATATCAATGAAACTAAAAAATGTTCGGTAAAACAAAAAGATATTCAAAAAATCGAAAGGATTTGCCGTTTATCTGAAAGGTATTTAGATGAAAAGGAAAGGATTTTTATTTTGCTGAAAGACGTGAGGTACATGACGGCATATGCGATGTAAAAGAGTGCTGGAAGGAAGCGGAAGGCACGAAATTTCACTGGATGCCAGTACATGTATATTTGTTTATTTATTTTATGCTTCAGAAATGTGTCACTTCCTGTGTTGTTAAATCATTTCCACTTCCTCATCTCTTATTTATTAACATTATTCATCTTCTTCATATCGCACGTACGGTCATGTAACACACATCTTTTACAAAAGGGCAAATCCGTTTGATTTTCCAAAACTTTTGCAATTTTGTTGACCGAATAGATCTCCCATAACTCATCCGTTTTCCTTCTCCTCCCCCAAATCATTAATACGTTTTCATGCAAGAATAGCTTTGTAGCGCTAAATCTAAGTTGATTGAGTCCTCAGTACTGCATTACGCATCCTTTGCTGCGCACAAAAATCACGTACCGAGTAATCAGGCGAATAAGCGCGCGCACGGAACGTGGTATTGTTTTTCAATAAATGGAGGTAAAGAGGTGCGATGGTCTTAAGCTCGTGAACGAGCACGGTGACCTATCTTATTTTAGTACATTTTTGTTATTTAGATTGTCATCTTTAAGTTGGAGAAATTTTAAAAAATATATCGAAGAGAAAAAATGATATGGTTTAAAACGTGCACAAAGCCCGTTACTAGATGACGCAAATTATAACCCGGAAAGCGATGACTTTGAATGTTTTGAGTCGATTTCGTTTAAAAATTGCGTGACGTTTTCACAAATTATATATTAAATTGTTCCATACGCTCAAGACTTTCTATCTATCAAGTTTTTTTCAAGTGTTATTTCAAACAGCCTTGTTTCGAGCTACCTAAAAATGTACCATGAACCGATGAAATGACGCGCGTGACCAGTGCCAGAACAGGAATAAGTGGAGTAGGTCTGACTCATCATATCCCTTGAATTTTATTTTTCGAAACAGGCATTAGTGGGAATCATTGCAAGAGAGTCCGTCTAAAATATGAAAGCGATTCATGTGTTATTTATCAAGAAAAAATGACACAACAACAAATGGTGGACTTCCTTTGAAGCCTTTAGCGAGTTTTAATAAACTTGATAATACCCATTGTTACGTAAATTCAGTCAAGGACGCACTGACGCAAGTGTAATAAGGATGAAGAGTGGACTGCGGTTTCGTTAAGTAATTTGAAAAGCTCACGTACTCAACTTCTAGCTTTATAGATCTTGTAACTATGAAATAGTTTTTATTTCAGGTAGTTTTCATTTCAGGTAGGGTTTTTTTTTCATGTTTTAGACCAAGGCTAATACACTTCTACAACGATATGGATTAAAACTCAATCATTTTTGAAGAATTAAGGGAGAGATGCAGATTTCTAGGTGCTATTAATAACGTATTAAGGTTTAAAACACTCAAAAAAAAAAAACGTCACACAACATCACGTACATGCTTTTCCCTCTCCACTCCATTACTAATGCCATTCCAGAATTTTTCCGAGATTATTTGCAATCCTACAAGCGGAGATCAATTCCGGCTCGAGATCATTTATGTTCAATTTTGGGATTATTCGTGGTTCGAAATCATATATGATCTCATCATTAGCTGCACAGTTTAGCTGTTCAATGAAATTATTAAGAATGATAAAATCAGGAAATTGTTATGAATATATTAACTCGATAACAATCAAAATATTATGGTAAAAAAATTTAATGAAAATAAAACGGAAATACAAACTTCGATGAAAAAACTAAATAATTGCGATAAAAAAAAAGTTAAGGCAAGCTAGGGTACATTAAAGTTCACACGGCAACCAGGTGGACAATCAGACATGGTTTGATGCTACTCTGCCTTACAGATTTAATGAATGTAACCGAAGAAGTTACAATTCATAGACCTAACGTTTCGACACTCCTGTCTAGTGCCTTCATCAGGGGTGATCTAAACGCTGCAACAAGAGGTTCTTTTATTTGATCACTAATTAGCTGCCTTTTTTCTGACGAGGTATAAATAGGAGTTAGGAAGCAAGCCGCCATTGTAACGATTTAAAGGAGCGTGGGCGGAGTTAATATGCCAAGCCTCCAAACAAAGGCGCTAATGGTAACGCCGATTAGTGGTGATAATTTTAGAATCATCCCACCCAGCTGTATAGTTAGTTAGGCATGTGTGCTCCGATAAAGCTGAATTTTCCTTTTTGCAAAAGAAAACCGCTTTTTGATGCTCTTTCAAACGTGTACCAAACTCACGTTTAGTCTGTCCGATGTATTCGTTGTCACAGTCATTGCAAGGAATAGAATAAATGGCGTCGGTTCGTTGTTCTTTCGTGACAGGATCCTTAGGTTTGGCGAAAATATACCCCAAACTCTGAAAAGGTTTTGAGTAACTTTAACGTTGTGGCTATTCAAAATTCTCTTGATGGGTTCCGTAACACCCTGAATGTAAGGAAAAACAGCAAAACAAGTCGCTAATTCCCTTTCAAGGGTTCCCTTTCTTGTCGTCCTGCAATGACGTAAATTGATTTCCGTGCTGGCTTCACAAATCTTTGAAATCTTGGAATCACGTCCAATAGATCTTCATAATGACACTCTCCTTGCGTCATTCGGGTACTTGAGAGGTATTTTATAAAAAGGTTGCCTCTTTCAAACTTGTCATATTCAGCGCTAACACTTCGGGACATACGACTTTGGCTTGCACTGAAAAAAAACAACAACGAGGCAGGTAATTATAGAAAGCATTTAAAACTGGCAGAGTTACCAACGTTGAAAACGACAATTAAACTGAATCGACTTTGTCAGTATTTTAAGGAAAGTATTAATATTCTTTCAAATGCTCTTGGTTTCCACAGCCATTTATTACATTCCTAGTGAGTCAATTACTTTCTGACGGTACCTCAACTAAACAAAGTCAGTAAAATGTCTGGATGCAGAGAACGAAAGGTAAGACATCTTTTCCACTTCTTACAATGTTTAGGCCGTGTTCAAGTTTCACCTTGAAAAACGTTATTTGCATCTGGGCCTTGTTTGCCAGAAAACGTTGTATGCGTCTGGGCCTTGTTCAACAGAAACTTCGCTCATTTTGCTATAATATTGATGACAGATGAAAATTTGTCGAATGACTCATGTGGCGTCGCGCGCTCTTTTGTAAAAATAACATTCAAAGAAAAATCGCCGCATGAAGGCGAAACATGAAGGCGAGAGTAAGGCAACAAAGCCGGAGACGCACGGCTTTGTGTTCGGTCCTACGGGATGTACAATGCAGAATAATAAAATAGATACAGCGCAGACTCTCCGGTGGCTGAGTTAGATATGTGCTTGGGTGGTTTAATAAGCAATCAAGAAGTTAGAATTGCACTTGGTTATTGCCTCGTGCAACTAACACAACGGTCAAATGACTGCAAATGCGCACCATGATGGATAATTTGCTTTTGAAAATATGGAGATTCAAATTAAGGCGTATTTTTTCGCAGTTTCTAAGGAAATTTCGAAGTCTCTAAGGTCGGGACTTATACACATTGTTGTTCTGGACTTGACCCATCATGTATAAGTTTAAACTTTTGGATTTTTTTTTTTTTACACCTTACACGGCGGCGTTATGAAGTCGTCCGTAAACTTGGCCGTGTTGGCTGTAGTTATTCTTTGTTGTGTTCATGATGGAGTTGCCGGTAAACACCGAGAAAAATGTGTGAAAAAGGGAAGAACCACAGCCATACAAGATATTTCTGACTATAAAAGGTCTATGTTTACAGCAGACAGTAGACTCTGCAGCAAGGGTAGAATAAAAGTTCTGTCATTTTCCTTTATCATCGAAACCAAGCGTCCGCAGTTGGGATAACTCACAACAAAATAAAGCCAAGATTTAATCTTTATCAAAAATCTTTCTTTCATTTGTCTTACGCATTTCCTTACTATACGCCAGTCCCTCTTATTGTTTTCGAACTCGTGTATACGCAGTGTTTGACCGCTGTGTTCGCCCGACTTTACGCTATTACGCTTTGTGCTTAGCAACCTCCCGCGTGCACCATAACTTGACGATTGCACGCTGCACGCCAACCGTCTCTTAATTGGCGAGATCAAAGAAAGCTGTTTTTTATAATGATTATTCCACTTCATTTTTCATCATTTTTAATAATTTCTTAACATTTCGTTTTGTATGATGTTTGTAATCTGTTCGATTAATTATGTTGTTTACACACTTTCGTATTTTGAACAAATTACAGCTCCTAGACGATACGTGTCTGAACAACGAATTAAATTGTACTGTATCTAAAATAATAATTTTTGTTATTGCAGCTTTCCCGCCCTCATACTGAGTGGGTTCCTTCAGGAGCGGGCTACTTCACCTCAAAATTTTCAATATCCGAGGAAAGCATGAAACATATTTCTCCTACAGTGATCGAGTCTTTCAAGTCCATTGCTGTATATTCTGGGAAGCCATTCACCATCGCTGACTATGGCTGTGCTGACGGAGGGACCTCCATGCCACTCATGTACGCATGCGTAGAGGAATTGAGAAACTTGCACGGGAATGAGCTTGAAATTCACATAAATTATGAAGACAGACCAGAAAATGACTACAACTCAATCTTTTACTATGTGCAAGGTGAAAAAAAACATACGATAGTGAAAATAACGAATTGCTATTCATTGTGTATGTTGAAGATGTTTTAAGGACGCGGTAGACCTTCCCAGGTGTTCTTCGCTAAAAAAAAATTGTTACCGCGCTATTTGAAGCGCAACCACCGTCAACTATTTAACAAATAGATTCTAGGTTGCCGTGCGTCTGTTCAGTAATAGATCAGATGACGTCAAAATGTGGTAAGAACAAAAAAGGTTTTTAGATATTGATATCTTGAGAGCCTTCAGACCAAATTTAAGCTCAATCCATTAAGGTTTCAAATCTTATTAATTCGATCAAAAACCTCGTTCTCAGGGCCTCTCCTTTTCCTACTGAGCTCGGGGTGTTGTGCGTGAGGGAAAGTGGGATACAGATATAACATGACCAAGCGATTGTTTATAATCAAAAAAAAAAAAAAAAAAAAAAAGGGAAGGATGGGTTATACCTTGATTTTTTAATACATGCAATTCGTAACAGCCTTTACTGTCAAGTACTCTTACCGAAACTTATCAGAGTCATGGACACTTGCTTCGAGTTCATTCTTGTATTTGAATGCTGCAATAAAGCAACCCCTAGTCATTTTTATCCTCAGTTAAAACTGCGTCTGTACACTTTCGTTCCAGGTTTGCTGCCACTTTCATCCAGCTACCTTAGTGATTTCCCAAATGTCTTCGTATCTGCAACAGGAACCAGTTTTTACGAGCAATGTTTCCCCAGCGATTCCGTAAACTTGGGCTTTTCCTGTCTGGCCATTCAGTGGCTGAGGAAAAGACCCTGTAATTTGACTAGGGCGATACTGCATTGCTACTCCGAAGTCCCACAAGAGAGAAATATGTTTGCCAAACAGGCTGAGAAGGACTGGGAACAGTTCTTGTTGATGAGAGCAAAAGAACTTTCCAAAGGTGAGAAACATGTTTACACCGACTCTAAAAAAAAACATCCATGTTTATTGAGTCAAAATCAGTCCCAGAAAGATAAAATTTAGTTTCACAAGTCGGATCTCACTTCGCACTTGCCACTTAATAAATTTACGTTCATTGCTTCGGCCGTTTACCAAGATAGACAAAAAAATATGTCGTTAAGGTTTTTCCCTGGTGCTTTATCAATCTCGTATAGTGTAGAAATATGTGGTGTAACACTCACGAAAGTACCTCTCAGAGAGGCGGTACTGGCGTGCGGTCATCACGTGGCAGTAGAATTTTCTCCGCCAATGTTTCTCCATATTCCTTATTTAGGGTGTTCCGCTCTCCCCCTTTGCACACTGAGGATACGCCATAAATTGCACCATCGTTATTTACTCTAATTATGTTCTATCTTTGGTTTAAGGCGGTAGGCTGGCACTGATTATAGCCTGTACACATGGGAAAGAAACCGAAGGTAGCGTCCCAGGTCTTGTTATCTACAAGTTATTGTACAACGTTTGGGAGAGCATGGAAAAAGACAAGATCATTTCAAAGGTTAAGTGAACTTTTATTAAGTTTTATCTTTAATTAATGTGAGCCAGACTTTTCAACAATTTTCCTCGAGCACCTCTGGTAATTTTTTAAATACACAAACTTAATTAAATGATGAGGTTTTATCAACTGAGTTGATGCTGTAAATTGGCCTCTGTAGAGAGTTTTTAAAGCTGACGTTTTGGGCGTTAATCCTTCGTCAAAGCGATCAACGAAGGGCTAATTCTCGAAACGTTAGCTTTAGAAATTGTTTACAGTGGCCATTTTATTTTATTAACTCAGTTGATAAACCAAATTATCTTGTTGGACACCCTACCGACGCAGCACCACAGTTTCTTCATGAAATTATCCCCCTTAGACTGAATTGAAGTTTGATTCATGAATGATTTATAAAATTACCCACATCCTATCGTTTCAAACTATGCTCCGCTGATTTAAAACGATCACAAGGGTTCTTTTGTAAAAGACAATGACTTTGAACCCGCGCTATAAAAGGTTCGTTAACCCTTTAACTCCCATGAGTGACCAAGACAGAATTTCTCTTTATAGTATCAATACAAAATCAAGCAGACAAGTGTTGAGAATATAGAAAACTATCAATAAGGGAGTTGTTAGTTGATCCAATGCCAAGTTCTGCGAGCTAACATCATAAGATTTGTAAAAAAACGGGAAACAGGAAAAACAGCTAATGAGTTCCTAGGAGTGAAAGGGCTGGAGGTATTCTCGAAATAAGGTCATATGTATTCTTCTGAAGTGCCATTTCTCTTTACACCACAGAAAGATATGGAAGAAATGACCATCCCTGAATATTTCCGAACTCGTGAAGAACTGGTGAAGCCGTTCCTATCAGACACATCGCCGGTTAGAAACGCTGGTCTTAATCTTGTCTCCATGGAATTGAAAGAGTTTCCTTTGCCAGAGAAAGCCATGTGGAAAATTACTGGAAACGCTAAAGCATGTGCGAGACTGATGACTGAACAAACCAGGGCTTGGAGCAATTCCTTCTTTCAGTCGGGTGAGTAAACTATTATAAATACTCAACATTCAACGACTATTCACCGAAGTGGAGATTGCTTGGACCTAGATCCTTCCATGCAACCAAAATGTAGGAACTTACCACCGCATGGCCGTGGAAAGTCCGGGCACGAGACTAGTGGCGGATATTACCCTCGTTGCGAAGCGGCGCGTTAAATATCCACCGCGAGCTACCGACACCAAGGTGAAAAGTTGTTTCAATATACACCCAATTTCAAAAACCTTAACACCTAAAAAGCATGATCCATGAAGACGAGACCCAATGGCTTTTATGGGAATATTCGAGCAGCCACATAATCAGTGATTCACTTTAGAAAAACAATGAAAAACCTATATGATTATCCTTTTCTTCCAGGAAAGCGTGGATAGCTTTCATCATTCACCACGCTCTAATGGTGTTTATCATGCATATGTGTATCCAAAGAGCCGAAGGTTCTTAACGTTCATTGTAAACGCTTTTTAAGTGTCAACGTTTCTGCAATTGAGTGTATACTAAAACAGTGAGATAATATAGCACGAAGAGGTGATTTTGACTCGTTTATTCCTGCAACAATTACAATGTTTTAGGGCGCAAATTCCGCCTGCATTGCTCAGAGGTGAATAGCAGAGGATATTCGGAGTTGGAGTAGCCAATCAGAGTGCACCTTTAACGCTATCCACTGTTTTAGATTTGTACATTCTTATCCCCGTCAGATATCAACTTCCAACTTGAGTCAGTTAGTTAAACCTTTCCTATTTAAAGAAAAGTACTAAAACATTGTACCAAACCATGCGCAAAATATCTAACAACTGCTCAACAAAGTTCCTCTAGAATACAATTGAAAAGTACTCGCTGATGAGCACATATTTACTACTTTGTGCCAACCTTGTTCTCAAGGCTTTTAGCTTGAAAATTGGGAAATGGTGAGTCCTGGGAACGAATGCATACGTACATAGGTACTTGTGAATGGCAATAAATGTCACTTCGTTTTTTTCTTTCCTACAGCACTCAGTGACCATCATTCTGCAGAGGAGAAAAATTCGATTCTGGACGAATTTTTCTATCGTCTTGAAGAACAATTTTTGCTTTCTCCTGAGGATTATATGGGTGTGATATGGAATGCATTTATGATAATTGAAAAGTCACGACCTTGAAAAGGAAAGAGGATAGTCCTTAAGCTTGCTTGATATTTAAGATATTTTGCATTTACAAAAACAATGCATTGCTTTTACGACAAGGCTTGGAATACGAATTTTACTGTACATATCTTAAGGGAACAGTCATAATTTATGTTGAGTGGGAAGGGAAAAAAGGGGGAGTCAAGGCTATTTTCGATTGGCCAGAGGGGGGAGGGGGGCGGGGGGGGCTATTTAACTTTTTATAAAGAAGTTTTTTGGGGGGGGGGTCAGCAGTTTCAGGTACATTTTATATGTGATCCATTTCCCAAGGTGGGTAAGACGGTGAAAAGTAGAGCGCAAGCAATATGTGTGAAATAGTAATGCTAAATTACACAATTTTGTGTTAATGCTATTGTTTTCTTTTGGTTAAATTAGACACCACTATTTTTTACAACTTAGGGATGTTTAATGAATATGTATATATAAGAATCGTATATTGTGTGATTTTTATTTCATAGAAATACTGATTGCACTCTAAACTCCATTGTTATCTCAAATTTTAGTTAATAAAGAATCCAGACCCATCTGCTTTAGTATTCAGTTTGACTGAACTTCCTTTTGACAAAATGCTTGTCACTTCAATAAACCAAGAAGTAGTTAAACATGATATAACAAAAAGGAAGTAGTCTTTTTACAACTATCAGAAAATCATGAGAAAATAATTTTTTTTGGTTATAATCATTTCTGTAAATTGACTTTCAGGTCACCATCAATTTATTAATTTTGCAATCTAGTATGGGGTATTTTTAAGTTCCACACTGAATGTACTTATTGATAAAGTCAACAGTAATTAATTTCATGATTCTAAATCTTCACCATGCTAATAAAACTGAAAATAATTGCTGAAGTACCTCCCTGTAACACTGCAGTCGCCATTCTCTCGATGTGCAAAGTATTGTAGTAATCAACCCAGACTTTCAGTATAATTTGACACGTCACAAACTTTCTTAAAAATTCGTGTGCTTCTAAATTTTTTGACATTTTCACAATCACAATTTTAAGTTTACGTTCTCATATTCTTGACTCTCCCTTAACCTTTCAACTCCCAAGATCTAATTGTTAATTATCCCCTCTAGCTGCTACACATTTCCTTGTAAATTAGTTACAAGAACTTTGTGTTTGATCAGACAAACCTGATAAGTCTGAGTATTCTCATTACCTGTTTGCTGGATAATGTGTGGATATTATAAGGAGAAGTTACATGTTAATCACCTCTGAGAGTTTAAGGGTAAAATTGTTGTTTTCAATCATTCCCAATACATCAGTCTCTAAAAGTGCCTCAAAATCATCATTATCAGCCTTTTTGTTCTCATCCTCAGCTGACTTTTACTCTTCTTAATTCTTACTTTTCCTCGCAGTCAGCTGATACTTTTTTTTTTTTCATGTTCAGATTCTTTGACAGGTTTTATTTCCCTTCCTTACTCTCCTTTCCCCCTGTCGTCAGCTTCCAGAGTCAGAGGATTAAGGCTTTTCAGCATTTGAAACTGATATGCCGGTAACCCCTTAAACTGTTCTGATACTTGTGTCATAGTGCGAGAAGTTCCGACTCTTAGTGAGGGTCTGATGCGAACGCATATTTTGTATGCGTGTTGAGCGTATTATACACAGTGTCTGTGCTGATTTTTCACCGCAAAAACTTCTCTTCTTCCGCCATTACATCATATATAAATATACCGTGTGCTCATCAGTCAAAACGTCCCGCATGCGTCAGAGTCAAAACGTCGTACATGCGTGTTAAGGACTTAACTGCGATCAGGAATCGGGTGTCCGAGTACAAATTTGTCATATTTAGCGCTAACAGTGCGGAATAAATGACTTTGGCTTGCACTCAAAAGCAGTAACAAAGAAGATAATTAAAGAGAGCATTTACAACTGGCAGAGTAACCAGCGTTAAAATTGACGATTACACTGAAACAACTTTGTCTGTAAAAGTGAAGAACATCTGCTCTATAGAGATTTTAAATGGCAACTTCAAGTTAGGCGGCAGAGGAAAAACAGTGGAGATTGACGAGTCAATGTTTGGCAACAAGCAAAAGTACAACCGTGGACGTGTTTCTGAGGGCCAGCGGGTGTTTGTAATGGTAGAGCGAGATACTGGAAGAAGTCTAGTTTTTCGCGTTCCAGATCGCCAACGAGAGACCTTAGTAACCAGACTAATACGCGAGTTCGTTGAACCTAGTACCGTGATCGTTTCTGACAAGTTCTCGCCATACTTTAACTTGAACGATGTAGGCTACATCCACCTGATGGTCAACCACTCGGAAAACTTTGTCGACCCTTACACTGGAGCACACAGCAACACCATAGAAGGCCTCTAGAGTCAAGTAAAACGGAAGCTGAAGACAATGAATGAGACGACTAAATCCAAACTGCCAGGTTACCTCGACGAGTTTAACTGGAGTAAACTCCATCAGGAGGCGAACCCGGGAGACAAATTCTGTTACGTTTTCCCACATAACAGAGATCCAGGGACGGATCCAAGAATTTCTCAAAGTGGGGATTGTACAGTATTGTAGTAATGTTTAACGCCAATGGTGTGGAAGGCGAGTGACGGCCCCGTGCCTCTAGTGCGAGCTCTTAAGGGGCCTTCTGTCTTCTCACTTTGCACGCGAGTTGGTTACTGTGATGTCTGTAAAGATTTTACCAACGTAATAAAAGTAGATGTAGATGTCGACGTAGATGAGATGTCACTATTGAATATATTTAACACGCGCAACATTCGAGAAACAATTGATAGCTTTGCACGTGGTCCGTATTATCATCTTTTTAAGCGGTATGTGTTAATTTTGTCGACAAAAATGCGGACCGAGACCAAAACTGTTCCTTCGGCTTGATATATTTTCGACGTTAACAGATCACATCATATTCACTTACCTCTGTAAATCATTCATTCTAGATAACAAAATCAATTAAACATGCTAACGATGGTATCTGAATTCGTCCTTGGCCAAACACAAACGACTCCGCTAGATCACTTTCTCCAGGCATCGAATACATACACAAATTCGTTCATAGTTCATTTTAATCAGACATTCATAGATAGCAACGAGCAAACCAATCCAGAAAATATAATCGGCACACTCAACAAATCATGAATCTTGCAACACAGCTTGCCGTTAAAGAACTGCTCAAATCAAAATGTTTGGTGCAATTCACCAACACCTCAAGAAATATTTGATTCAGAATTTTTCCTCTCACTCTCGTCGTGAAGGAACAATAACCATGATCGTGCCACAGTGCACAGGACTCCATTTTCTTTCGAACAACTATCCACCATTTTCACAGCATGAGTAACACGTTTACTATAGGTAATCTGATATCTTTCATCTGTCCAGTAGAATCGCATTTCTCATAAAGCGCGGTAAAATACACGTTAAAAACACAGAAAAGCCAACACTTCTCATTCTAAAAGATGATTCCATTTTACGAACCGCTCTCTCCGAATCCCCCACTACTTCGTTGAAATTTGAACACCTCTCAAACCAAAGAAAAAACGATGCTCTGATTGGTGCGAAATACATGCCCTAAACGATCTGATTGGTGCGAGTAACATACCATTCTCTATACGCCAACAGGCAGTGTGCGCACTCCGATTGCGTTGCATTGTGGTAGCTTCATTTTCAATATGGCGGTGAAAGCAGCAGAATTGGGCAGATTTTGACCGAACATTCCGTAACAGTTAGGCTGTTCCTTTTTCCTTTCGCCATAATCAAATGTAATTTGATTTATTCTGAATGCGTAAAAGTATTTTTTGTACGTATTTGTCGTGTATTTTATGGTTCTCAAGGACAAACGCAATCACTGTTTTTTTGTATGTAATTTGAGACCGGATTTCAAGAAGGTCAAATTTTGATGTACGTCGTAGTTTGGAGCCTTTCAAAGATTTGGATGGCCGCTTTGATTCTTCTTTAACAGCTCTGACTAAACGCTCTCAAACGCTCTCTAACGGTACATGTGTTTCTTGCATTTTAAGTGTGGATGTTTGAGACCGATTATGACCGAGGAAAGGCTTATTGTTGCGTTACACAGAGTTACTATTGTATACTCAATTGTGTTGTAAATCTACTTTCCTAAGTAAATGGAAATTAACTCATCGCGAGTGCTGTATGGTAAATCCACTATCTTGATTATCGAATGAAGGACAGTTGCATTTGAGCTTTGAACGAAGTCACTTGACTAATGAATAACTCTTTAATGCGCACGGCGTCACACCGGGTAAGTCGGAAAGCAATTGGCAGTCGGTCGTTAAAGTTGTTGATAGCTTGAGCGACTTCTGCCATTCGCTTGCGCTTTTAAATCTTCTAACCTGAAAGCTTAGCTGTTATTTGGATATCTTTTGATGACTTTCGTTTGCGATGTGATAATAAGGGTTAGTATTAAGGTGCCATTTCCTTATCTGTATGTTCTTGAGGTTTGGCAAAGCCGGATGAGATTGTGTTACAAAAGGTAATATTTTCATGTGTGCGCGCTATTTTTTTGTTTGTTTGTTTTTTTGTTTGTTTGTTTTTTGTTTGTTTTTTTTTTGTTTTCATGTATCAGTCTCGTAGAAAATAACTCCAGAGATACGTTTGTCAAAGCCTTATTCTAGGTATTCTCTATTCTTTCAGAATATTTGAAACTCTGTACGTTTTTTAATAAACGTTGAGCGTGACGAATTGGGTGCTAGGAGGCGTAAGGCATCTCCTTTCGCGAATCCCGTATTCACACCTTTAAGTGTAGGACATGGAAAACAGTTCGTGTATTAGAAGGTCGCTGCCTCTTTGGAATGCGTTTGCATGTCAAGGGACGATTCTCCTAATAACTCGCGAATTTGATATTATTCACACAGCCATCGGCTGTGAGTGTAACTGCTGCCAAATGAATAGATTCTCGGGCAAGGCTGCAGTTTCGATTCTTTCTGAATCTCTTCAATTGCCTTCTAACAACAAATTTGTCACGGAAGAATAACAGGAGTCGCACAGGCCCACAAACACTTTTTAAGGAACGGCAACAGACAGTGAATTCCCATTACATTCCACGTTTATTCACGCTATCTTACTGCTTCCAGAGATGTCCAGAGATGTTCACTCGACCTCGACAGGATGCAAATGACTCGCTTTTCGTTTTACGACCATGATGCAACGCAATCAGAGTGCGCACACCGCCTGACACGCTACGCTAACATAGATGTTATTAAAAAAAAAAAATTAAAAAAAAGATTATTAATCAGACATACATGAAGTACTGTTATACTGTTAACTATAGTTTCGCAATGCATTATAAGGCGATTGAAAAAGTGCTATTGGCTTCGCTTATTTGTTAACGCAAAATGCAGAAAAGGAGCCGTTTTGTGTAGGAACAAGGATATAGGAAATAGGTACCAAATTTACTACTAAATTTTAGTACTTACGGTCGGGAGGTAGGTTAAACAAGCTTATTTTACCGTTTAAACAGAATCAAGTTGATAGGTACAAACGATGCGATCGACATGTTTCTATTTACTGTTTTCAACTGGAAAAGTTTTGACTCTTTTCAGTCAATTTTTCGTCTACTTAACACTGTCGGCCGACTGTCGGTAATTAGTCGGTAACCTGTCGGCCAACAGATGACCGACAGCCGAAAATGAGAACCATTGTTCACTATTGCCAATTTGTCAGTATTTCAAGGAAAGCATTGGTATTCTTTCAAATGTTCTAACTTGGTTTTCGCAGCCACCTGTTACATTCCGATTCTGACGGTACCTCAACCAAAAAAAGTTAGTAAAATGTCTGGGTGCAGTGAACGAAAGGTAAGACATCTTTCTTTTCTACTTCTTAGAATGTTGTTCACCTTGAAAAACGTCATTTTCATCTAGGCCTTGTTTGCTAGAAAACGTTGAATGAATCTGGACCTTGTTTAACAGAAATTCCGCTCATTCCGCTATAATATTGACGACAGATAAAACTTTGTCAAATGACTCGTGGCGTCGCGTGCTCTTTTGTAAAAATAATATTAAAAGACTTTGTGTTCGGTCCTTCGAGATATGCAATGCCAAAGGAGTAAAATATGTACAGTGTAGACACCAAGGGGGCTGCAGGGCCGGCGTTCTATTTTTCGAGCGTATGCGAAATATTCTGATCGAGTGTTGAATTCCCTGTACTGGAATGATAACATAGGTTTACTAAAGCGTACGCTCCGATTGGCTACCACGTTCGATCTATATTCCCGTGGGTTCATAACTGCATCATAACTTGACGATTGCACGCTGCACGCTGCACGCTGCACGCTGACCATTTCTTAATTGGCGAGATCAAAGAAAGCTATTCTTTATAATCATTATTCCATTTCATATTTTATCATTTCCAATAATTTCTTAATATTCCGCTTTGTACAATTTTAGTAATTTATTCAATTAATTATGTTGTTTACGTACTTTAATATTTTGAACAGGTTATAGCTCCTAGACGATACATATCTGAAAAAAGAATTGTATTGTATCTAAAAAATAATATTTGTTACTGCAGATTTCCTGCCCTCATACTGAGTGGGTTTCTACAGGAGCGGGCTACTTCACCTCAAAATTTTCATTGTCCAAAGAAAGCATAAAACATATTTCTCCTACAGTGGTCGAGTCTTTAAAGTCCATTGCTGTATCTTCTGGGAAGCCATTCACCATCGCTGACTATGGCTGCGCTGACGGAGGGACCTCCATGCCACTTATGTACGCATGCGTGAAGGAATTGAGAAACTTGTATGGAAATGAGCTTGAAATTCACATAAATTATGAGGACAGACCAGAAAACGACTACAACTCAATCTTTTATAATCTGCAAGGTAAAAAAAAGCATATGATAGTAAAAATAACCAATCACTATTGGATTGTTCGACTTAGTTCCTAAACTTAAGGTGAGCTGTTTTGACAACAAAACTATTTTCTTCCTCAGTGTGAATGTTGACAATATTTTAAGGATACGGTAGACCTTTTTGGGTGTCCTTCACTAAAAAAATTGTTATCACGCTATTTACAGCGTAACCACCAAAATCTATATAGCAGTGGAAAGGTTATGAAATTCACTACTCAGCAAATATTATTTAGTTTTAACCTGATCTTATCGTAAACTGACTTAGGCGCGACAATCTAAAATGGACTATGGTTCTTTTAGCGAATAAATTGGGTTTCAGATCTAGATGCCCAGATAAAACATCTGCACAATTTCTCTCCTAAGAAGTTGGTCTTCAAAACAGTGTGGGGCTTTTTCAATATTCCAATTGGTTGCTTTGCAATTTTTCTGTCAATCGATACATGTGAAGTTAGAGACCATTGCAGGAGATCAATTTTGAAAGACGAAAAAGCCCTTCGTGGTTTTTTAGATTAGTATCTGGGGAGCTTTTGGATGAAATTTCAAGTCAATCGGTAAAGATTTTATTTCCTATTAATGTAAATTCGTTCAAAAACCTCCTTCTCAGGGCCTCCTTTTTTCCTACCAAATTTGGGGTGTTGTGCGTGAGGGAAAATGGGATACAGATATAACATTACCAAGTGGTTGTTTATAATCAAACGGAAAAAAAAGAGAAAAAAAAGGGGGAGAATAGGCTATACCTTGATTTTTTAACATGTGCAACTCGTGATAGCCTTCACAGTCATGCACTCATGCCGAAACCTGTTGGAGTCATGAACACTTGCTCGCAATCAAGCAACCCCTGGTCATTTTTATCCTTAGTTAAACCTGGGGTTGTACACTTTTGTTTCAGGTTTGCTGCCAATTTCATCCAGCTATCTTCGTGATTTCCCGAATGTCTTTGTATCTGCAACAGGAACTAGTTTTTACGAGCAATGTTTTCCCAGTGAGTCCATAAACATGGGCCTTTCCTTTTTGGCTGTTCAGTGGCTGAGGAAAAAACCCTGTAATTTGAAAAAGGTGTTGCTGCATTGCTTCTCCGAAGTCCTGGAAGAGAGAGATATGTTTACCAAACAGGCTGAGAAGGACTGGGAACAGTTCTTGTTGATGAGAGCAAAAGAACTCACTAAAGGTGCGAAACATGTTTACACCAATTCTGAAAAAAATTCACGTTAAGTTTATTGAGCCAAAGTCAGGCACTGAAAGAAAAATCCCTAAACAGAGTTTCATAAGTCAGATTTCACTTCGCACTTGCTACAAAATTAATTTATGTCCATTGCTTCGGCTGTTTACCTAAATAGACCACAAACTTGGTGCTTTATCAGTCTGGTATAGTCTAGAAATATGTGGTATAACATACTCACAAAAGTGCCTTTCAGAGAGGCGGTATTAGCGTAAGGTCATCACGTGACAGTGAAATTTTCTTCACCAATGTTTCTCCATATTCCTTATTTAGGGTACTCCACTCTCCCCCTTTGCATGCTGAAGATATGCCATTAATTGCACCATCGTTATTTACTCTAATTATGTTCTATCTTTGGTTTAAGGCGGTTCTGGCACTGATTATAGGCTGTGCACATGGAGAGGAAACTGAAAGTAGTGTCTCAGCTCTTGATATGTACAAGTTATTGTACAACGTTTGGGAGAACATGGAAAAAGACAAGATCATTTCAAAGGTTAAGTGAACTTTTCATTAGGTTCTATCTTTAATTAATGTATACCAGACTTTTCAACAATTTTCCTCGAGCACCTCTGGTAAATTTTTAAATAAGAAAACTTAATTAAATGATGAGGTTTTATCAACTGAGTTGATGCTGTAAATTGGCCTCCATAGGGAGTTTCTAAAGCTAACATTATGAGTGTTAGCCCTTCGTCAGAGCAAGCAACAAAGGGCTAATTCTCGAAATGTGAGCTTTATAAATTATTTATAGTGGCCAATTTACTTTATTAACTGAGTTGTTATAACCAAATTATCTTGTTATACTCCTTACGGATGCATCACTACAGTCTATTTAGGAAATTATTCCCCTTCAGTTTAATTAAAGTTTGATTTGCAAATGATTTATAAAATTATAACCTATCATTTCAAACTATGCTCCTCTGATTTCAACGATCACAAGGGTTCATCTGTAGATGACAGACTTTGAACCTACGTTAGAAAAGGTTCGTTAACTCTTTAACTCCCTTGAGTGACCAAGACAGAATTTCTCCTAACAGTATCAATACAAAATTAAGCAGACAAGTGTCGCGGAGAAAGAAAACTGTCCATAAGGGGAATGGTAGCTGATCTAATACAAAGTTCTCCGAAGTAACATCATATGATTTGTATAACATGCAGTAGGAGAACAGCTAATGAGATCATAGGGGTGAAGGGGTATTCTAGTAATGAGGTCATATGTATTCTTCTAAGGTGCCATTTCTTTTTACACCACAGAAAGATATGGAAGAAATGACCATCCCTGAATATTACCGAACTCGTGAAGAACTATTGAAGCCGTTCCTGTCAGATGCATCGCCGGTTAGAAACGCTGGTCTTAATCTTGTCTCCGTGGGATTGAAAGAGTTTCCTTTGCCAGAGAAAGCCATGTGGGAAAGTACTGGAAACGCTAAAGCATGTGCGAGACTGATGACTGAACAAACTAGGGCTTAGAGCAATTCCTTCTTTCAGTCGGGTGAGTAAACTTCTATAAATACTCAACATTCAACGACTATTCACCGAAGTGGAGGTGGCTCTGATCCAGATCCTACCGAGCAACTGAAACGTAGGACCTTACCACCGCATGGCCGTGGAAGGTCCAGGTACAAGACTAATGGTGGATATTACCCTTGTCACGAAGTGGCAAGTTAAATATCCATTGCGAGCCACCAACACTAAGGTGAAAGGTTGTTTTTAGAATACACCCAATTTCAAAAACGTTAACACCTAAAAAGCATGATCTATGAAGATCAGACCCAATGGCTTTATGGGAAATATTCGAGCAGATACATGAACAATGAAAAACCTATACGATCATCCTTTTCTTTCAAGAAAGCGTGGATAGCTTTCATTATTCACCACATGCTAATGATGTTTGTCATGCATGTGTACCCAAATAGCCATATGTCCTCATCGTTTATTGTAAACACTCTTTAATGTCAACATTTCTGCAATCAAGTGTATACTGAAACAGTGAGATAACATAGCACATAGAGAGGATTCTAACTCATTTATTCCTGAAACAATTACAATGATTTTGGGCGGAAATCCCACCTGCATTGCTCAGAGGTGAACAGCAAAGGATATTCGGAGTTTGAGTGGCCAATCAGAGGATGCCTTTAACACTATCCACTTTTTTAGCATATATATATTTTGTATATTCTTATCCCTATCAGATATCAACTCCCAACTTGAGTCAGTTAGGTTAGACCTTTCCTATCAAAAGCAGTACTAAAAAATTTTACCAAACCATGCCAAAAATATCTAATAATATCTCAAAGTTCCTCTAAAATTTTGAAAAAAAATATCGTTGATAAGCACATATTTGCTTCTATTTGCTTCTTTGTGCCAACCTCGTTCCCAGGACTTTTAGTTAGAAAATTGGAAAGTGGTGGGAAGGCCCTGGGTCCGGGGAACGTCTGCAGACATATATACATTAGGTACTCGTGAATGGCAGTTAATAACTCTTTGTTTTTTCTTTCCTACAGCTCTCAGTGACCATCATTCTGCAGAGGAGAAAACCATGATTCTGGATGAATTTTTCTATCGTCTTGAAAAACAATTTTTGCTTTCTCCTGAGGATTATATGGGTGTGATGTGCATAACATTTATGATAATTGAAAAGTCACGACCTTGAAGAGAAAAGAGGATAGTCCTTAAGCTTGCTTAATATCCAAGATTAGCCCCCCCCCCCCTCCAAGATGGCTTGGAGGGGGGGCTAATTTACCTTTTATAAAGAAGTTTAGGGGGGGTCAGGAGAACGAATGTACATATTGATAAAGTCAACAATAAGTAATTTCACGATACTAATCTAAATCTTCACCAAGCTAATAAGACTGATAATAATTGATGAAGTATCTCCTTATAACACTGCAGTTTCCATTCTCTCGATGTACAAAGTATTGTCGTAATCAACCCGGACTTTCAGTATAACTTAACATGTCACAAATTTTCTTGAAAGTTTGGGTGCTCCTAAATTTTTTGACATTTTCACAATCACAATTTTAAGTTTACTTTCTCATATTCTTGACTCTCCCTTGACACTTTAACTCCTAAGATCTAGTTGTTAATTCCCCCCTCTAGCTGCTACACATTTCCTTGTAAATTAGTTACAAGAACGTGGTGTTTGATCAGACAGACCTGATAAATCTGAGTATTCTAATTACCTGTTTGCTGGATAATGTATAGATATTATAGGGAGAAATTACATGTTAATCACTTCTGGGAGTTAAAGGGTGAAATTGTTGCTTGCTCACTAGATGGCTTGAAAACAATAACTTACAGTGCATACTCGAGTAAAACATGACTTTATTTTCAATAATGTCACAAGGCATGTAACCTAGTCTTAACCTTCCATAACTTTGCTCCTATTGTAATTTCATAGCCCTACTCTCCAACATGTTTTATGGTGTAAAGATTTCAAACAACAAGCAGTATTATCATACTGACATCCTTAAGACACACATCTACACTGATATATCAGGCAGTTGACATGAAGGTGAGGTCTACACAATGTTTACAACTTGCTCATGTTATTCAGAAAGGAAAAAAAAAGTACTGAAGCCCATCATTTGTTCCCCGATAGTGTGTATTCATACACAAAGAATGTAATTGTGACTGTAATATATACACCCAACAAACACTTAGAAAACTTAAATATACAATATTATAACGAATAAACAATAACTTAAAAGAGGCTTAAATTTGCCTTTTTTCTTCTTCTACTGTCCCTTATGGAAAATTCCAGCATGCTAGTATTTATTCACCAGCCATTAAAATCAAAAACAACTATAGCACTGGTCTACAATTTTGAAAGAACCTTTGAACATTTCTTTAGCAGACAATGACTTTGTGAAGAAAATGAGCGAAACTTTGAAAATATTTGGCTAATTTTAATTCAAAATTACAAGCCAAATTAGCAAAACATTTTATTTAGTCCTAAAAGAAGAACCAAGAATCTGTTATTTCAGGGTTTTAAGAGATATACACAGCTATTTTGTTTCTTCTTGCAAAATATTTGCACATATTCATTTTAAAACCATCTGTTGAGATGAAATGATCTTTCTTGTTGTTGCTGTTTTTTTTTTAATCGTTATTATTCATGGCAGTACATGTAACCAAAAACTTAACCCCACCCCAACTGATTTCAATCTGATTTCAACCTTCCATAACCTTGGTTTTGAAGTTCCAAGCAGGCTTTGTGTCAGCCATTATACAATTCACCATAAATAAATTCTGTGATTTCAATTACATGTACTTAACATTGTCTGTCTTCTTCACTCTTTTTGTTTTGTTTATCAATTGCATCAGGATTGGCTAGGGGATCCAAGTCAGAGAACAAACTGAACCAAGCAGACATGTCAGAACCTTTTTTCCCCTTTCCTTTCCCTTTGTCACTTGCTTTTCCTGCGAGTAATGAAGCCTGTTTTGCCTGTGAACCTTGATGACCCTCTTGACGCTTGCCTCCCTGCATTGGAGCTGACATCTTTGAAGCCGCACCTGCTGCTTGCTGGGGAGGGTTGCCTCTTGGTACCTCGCCAAATGGATCAAACCTAGCCATGCTGTTAAGGAGGTCAGAGGGCATCATAAAGTTGGAACCCCCTTGGGACCATGATTGATTGGGTTCCTGCAAAGACGGCTGAGCAGTCTCAACTGGCTCATCCCCAAACATATCCTTCCACGTTTTGCTGAAGCTATTCTCACTCTCGACACCTTGCATGGAGGAACCATTGGAGCCAAGAATCTCACTTAAGATATCAATATCTGACTTGTTTCCAGGTGCTCTGTCTTCCTTGGTAGGGGAACCAAACAGCAGATCATCAGCCGTCATTGATGATGCATTTTCACTTCCTGGACAAAAAGAAAGAGAAAAATCTCACTACACTCATATTAACCCTTTCACTCACAAGATCTAATTAGTAATTCTCCTTACTATCTGCCATACAATTCTTATGATGTTAGTTCAGAGAATTTGGTATTGGATCAACTAATAATCCCATGATTGATATTCTTCTCTATTCTCATCACCTGCCTGCTTGATATTGTATTGATATTGTAAGGAGAAATTCTGTCTTGGTCACTTGTGGGAGTGAAAGGGTTAAGAACAGATACTCTCTACATAGAAGTAATTATTTTGAAAATATGGTTCAGCCATAAGGAACATCTTTTTAAACAATCAAGAGCCTCTTGGTTGGGGATCATTTTGTTTATTCTTGTGAGCTTTATGTTAATTTAGGTGTGATATTGTAATTACAAATAACATAAAGATGCCAGTCACTCTTGGAGAGTTACAGGATTAACACTTATCAATCCCATACCAGGCACAGGAATTTGCTTTGCCTCTTCATAGCTGGGTGGCATAATCGAGCGATGACTTGTAAGTCCATTACTACTTGGATGATCCTCAAATGATGACAGAAGATCACTGGTCCCTAACAAACAAAAAGTACAATGAAGAGGTGTTTGAGACTTGTTACAATTGAATCAGTTCATAGTTGGCACTCTCATCAATAAATTTTAAAAAAACAAATATCAGTAGCACAACAAGAAAATAAATAACTACACACACATCCCTTGGTAAGTATGTGCACTATAATTGGTCAATTTGGCAGGCTGTATTTCATTGCATGGCCTGCTAAGTTCAAAAGTGTGGTTGGAGTGAAACCTTCCCCCCCAGTTTGAACCCAGAGATCTACAGCCCATGCACTTGTAGCCGTGTGACAGTGCACTACTAACCTGATTTGTGGTTTGATGGCATCAAAGCATCATCACCAAGCAAATCAATGAAAGGCGTTTCATATTTTTCATCCACATTACCATTGGACACTTCATCATCTCCCAATAAATCTGTTTCTAAGAGTGCTTCGTCATCATCATTATCAGCCTTTTTGTTCTCATCCTCAGCTGTCTTTTTCTCTTCTAGTGGTGAATGATCCAGAGAAATTAATTGATCATCATCATCTTCTTTTGAAGCTTCTTTCTTTTCCCCACAGTCAGCGGATTCTTTTTTGTCATCTTCAAATTCTCTAACAGGTTTGGCTTCCTTTCCTTCTTCTCCCTTCTCCTTGTCATCACCTTCCAGAGTCAGAGGATTAAGGCTTTTCAGCATTTGAAACTGATATGCAGGTAACCCCTTAAACTGTTCTGATACTTGTATCATAGTGCGAGAAGTGTTTTCCCAAAACTTAAGCAACGCTTGCTGGTATGCAGCAAGTGTGCTTGAAAGTAAGTTACATCTACTTGCAGACAGCAAGTCTATCTTTTGCATAACATCTACTTTCAGCTTTTCAAATTTCTTTTTACCCTTCCTGACTTGGCCTTGAACCTGAAAGAAAAAAAATAGTTTCAAAATTTAATTTCTCATTACAATACATGGAAATCAGCCCACATGTACTGCTTGGAGTCTTCTTTTCCTTTGACTATATGGAAATTGCAGGTTCTGGTTGGTTGCCCAAAAAATTATGTTGTACACATCACCAAGTAATTGCATGAAATTGCAGGGCTCCTACTTCAATTTTTTAAAATTCAATTGTAAAATGGTTGCCATAAAAAAATGAATTTCTGTCACCTTCCACACACCTCCCCCATCCCACCCTTTCCAGCTGATATTATTTCAGTCTACTGCTCAGCTGAGGAAAATCTCTCATTTGAACTAAGCTGAAATATTGGTATTAAAACCTTCAATTTATTGTAAATAACATTTTGAATCATTTGATATTTTGTCAGCATTAAGTAGCATTAACTTCTTAATAATGTGGATGATATAATTTATTGCGCATATTACTGTTCAACGGAAAAGCCGCAGCTTATGATACGGGTGTAAAATTCTAACATTTACCACATGAAAAATTGCTGAAGGGTAAGCAGATTTGTTTATTTTCATCTTGAACTGCTATGCTATGTGGAAAGTCACATTAAAGAATTACAATTTATTCAGGTTGCTTGTATTTGGAGGCCTTTACCAGTGTCTGTTATGAGTAATAAGGTTTTCCAACATACAACCACTGACCTCTCTAAACTTGTCTAATCTTTTGTATTCTTCAGGATCTAACTCTTTAGAAATGTTTGCCATCCACAAGAGCCCAGCTCTGTAGTCTGTTCTGGCCAGTTCCATTCGATTTACAGTCTGGAAAGTGTCAGAGATTGCACGGAAACGGAATGTCTCCACTTCTTGGTAAAGCCTCACAAGCGGAGTTCTAAGACTAAGCCTGTCCAAATTAAAAAGTTCATTAACCCTTTAACTCCCATAGTTGACCAAGACAGAATTTCTCCATATGATATTAAGACAATAACAAGCAGACAAGTGATGAGAATAATGAAAAATATCAGTTGGACGATTATTAGTTGATCCAATACCAACTTCTCAAAACTAACATCACAAGAACTGTATGGCAGACAATAAGGAGAATGGCAAAAGAGATCTTGGGAGTGAAGGAGTTAATACATACTGTAAGAGCATGTACATCAAATTTGTACTATGAGAAAAATCCCTGAGTGCACTCGCATCAGAAATCTTAGGTACCCAGTTCTTAAAAGCTTTCACAGACACACAGTCATGTACAATTAATCAATTGTAACAAGATCAAAATCATTTATTTAGGACCCTTCTAATAAACAGAACAACTGAAAGTAGTATACCGTTGCTGTGCAGAGTAACTCTGAGCCTTGCCAACAGCAATCATCATTTTTCCTGCTTTTGATTTATCCTGGGAACCCTGCTCTCGCAGAAACCGTCCCATTTCATTTTCATCTTGAGACAAAGCTGTAGTTAGTGGAAATAAAAAAGAAGCTCACATGTAAACCTTATCTTTCTGAGCCCCCATTTATCTTCTCTTGTACAGTACCTTACATTAAAAGAAATTAGTTGGAGGTTTGTAATTTTCAGAAGTGATTTACACTTACATTATCCACAATTAGTGACAAAATTGTTGACACATAACCATCAAGAAGACATTACTGAGAAGACATTATTTTGGAATAGCACACCAATTTTATTACACTTTTGCTTTTACCATCTCTCCAAACTCATTTTGCTTTCTGTGACTATAGAACACTGAATGGGGCAGGGCATATATTTCAGCAAAATGACTTTTATCTTCATTCATTATCCAACTGCACTAAGTAAGGTGCAAATGACAACCATATCAAGTACAAAAGTCTCTCAATATTGTGCAGTTATTTGGAAAGTTGGTTATTTTGTACCATAATTTAACATAGGTGTTGCGCAAGATCTGTCACAACCTGCTTCTCTATCTGCTTCACTTTTCCCAACTTATAAGAAATGCATATAGAATAAAGCAGTATGAATAACAAATAAAGTATTACACATTTTGGTGTGTAGTATTTCAGAGTGCTTTTATTACTCACTATACAGCACAACTTGTAAAAATACCCAGCAATACTACACACCAAAAGGTCTTGTAAGAAATACATTCTTGAATAACACTCTAATTTTATAACTGCACCCTTAATTTTACACCTTTCCCCTTGAATGTCACATTTATTTTTCCATAATTCTAGAATATTGCAGGAGGAAGAGGGTATTTTAAGTGAATTGCAGTTCATTTGAGTTTTGTGGACCAATCACATAGCAAAGTAACACCTTGGATTATTTTCAACAATGAATTGAAAATTGCTCAAAGAACATGTATAACATGTGTTATAGTACATTTAGGAAGTCACATGAACATCTACTTCTACATGTGCATGATGTAAGAAATGACAACCACATTCTTACCAAATATCCTATTTTGATAGACTTCTACTGCCTTCAGTATGTCTATGCATGTCTTCTGAATATGCCGAAATGCCTATAACAATGAAGCATAACCATTAACTGTTTGCAAGTGAAAGAAACTGCATATCAATCTTTAACAGTTGAATATTGAAAAAAAAGCATCCATGGACAATCACGTATAAGTTTAATTAAAGTAGCTTTTAAACTTAATTCAGATTAGGCTGATCTCTATCAAATAAATCAAAATGGCTTAGAACAGATGAAGTAAGACAGCAATTCCACTTGACATATGTGGCAAATTTCACCAGTTTGCAGCCCCGACATGTATTGAAAACCCTGAAGATAAAACAACCATGTGGAACTGTTTTCACAGAATGGCCAAATGCTATAAGATTATGACAACATTGCTTCTAACTTGAGTCTCCCAGCAGACATGACAAGAATCTTTCTCTTTACCTCCAGCCGTGCATCAACCTCAGCATCCCCAGCCACAACATAACAATCCTGCTCCTTTCCCAGTTTTTGTATCACGGTTTGTTTGGTGTGCCAATATTTCTGTTCCACCTTTCCTTTGAGCCCACCAGCTGGAGGGCGATAAGGGTTGTATCCATAGTTATAGCCATAATTTCCTTCATAGCCTTCCTCATCATCATGATACGGCTGGTAAGATCTGTGACGATCATCGCTAAAGTAGTAAAAGTAATAATTTAACATTCTGAATTCTCAATGCTTGGAACTGCATAACTTAGTGTAAATATTATAGAAAATGCTGTTCTTCATCATGGTTTTATAAATAAATGAACATTAAATTGTTTGTCTCATAATGTAAGGGCCAGGCTAATCAATTGGGTATTGCTTGCAACTGCTACACTATATATTGCTAGTCTTCGTCAAACTATGAGGTTGAAAGTTTACATGTTGCCAATTATAGAACCTTGGTTTGTTGTTACTGGTGTATTATAGCATGTGGTCATTGGTGCATTTCAGTCCTCACTATTATTCCAATTGGAGTTTTTATGTTAAGCCCCATTTAATATTACAACCACTATGTTTCGTGTATCCTAGGTTAATAAGAGACTAATAGATTAACCTTTTAACTCCCAAGATCTGATTGTTAATTCTCCCCTCTAGCTGCTCTACATTTCCTTGTAAATTGGTTACAGGAATTTGGTGTTCAATCCAGGTAATATCTTGTACGTAATGAGTTTGAGAATTCTCACTACCTGTTTGCTAGATAATGTATGGATATTATAGGGAGAAGTTACATGTTAATCACTTCTGGGATTTTAAGAGTTAACACCTACACTTAATCAGTAAAAATTGTCTTTATATTACAACAAGTAAATATTGAACTACATGTACAGCGGATGAAATATAACAATTTAGAATTTTTATTTTTTTAAGGGGGCAGGATAGTGAATCCTGTAATCTGCAATCAACTTCAAATGCCTGATTTATGAGAAGACAAAACAAATCCCTTTAAATTTGTTCCTCAGCCACTGTAGGAGTTCTGAAGCAAAGTCTTCTTTTTCACTCCAAGATCTCAAAAGTAATTCTCCTTGCTGTCTGCTATACAATTCTTATGATGTTAGTTTGGAGAATTTGGTAATAATCCCCTAATTGATATTTTTTCTATTCTCGTCCCTTGTCTGCTTGACTTTGTAACAAAATTGTAAGGAGAACTTCTATCTTGGTCACTCATGGCAGTTCAAGGGTCAAAAATAACTGTTGATATTTTCTGAGAGAGTACAAACACAAAAAAGTTGTATATGTTAAAGAGGCTTTGTTCTAATCTGACTAATTTTGCCTAGCATACGATTCAAGTACATTTTGATAGAGATATTTTGGTTGATTTGTTTGCACTATGTATAATATCAATGTTCATCACTTAGAGGAGAATTGAAGTTGTAATAATAGATACAATGATGACAGCACTTACCTTTCATCAGGGTCTTGTGACACCTTCTGATAAGAACTGTTCATGATGGCGGAGAAGCTTTCACTCAGTTCCCAATTTAACAAAGGCTAATATATCTCCCTTTCTGTGAATCTATACAAATAAAATTTTAAAAAAAAACATGGAATTTTCTGTATTAGTTTGATGTCAAGTAACACATATTCCCCCATATTCATATATATCCCCCCCTTAAATTAGCCAATCAATACCTTGAACCGTCTCACACTGTTAAATACTTAGGATTAGTTATTGATTCCTTTCTGTCATGGCATGATCATATTGATTATATTAGCAGTAAAATTAGCAAAAGTCTAAACATAATCGCAAAACTGAAACGACATAGTAACAGTTCAATCTCATGTAAGTGTATACTAGGCACTTGTACATCCTCATTTAACATACAGCTGCATATTATAGGGTAATAATTACGAAGCTCCATTGTCTCAGTTGGTCAAGCTACAAAACAAAGCTATAAGAATCATCAAAAATGTACCAATTTGTGACCATGTTACTCCCTATTATGTAGGCCTTGGCCTAATTAGACTTCCTGACATAATTAAATTGAGTATGTGTCAACTATTCTACAATCATATTGTAGACAAAAATATTCTAATTTTGCACTTTCTTTTGTATCTGAGATCCATGATTATGCCACTAGAAATACATCTCTGTAACACCTGAACCCTAGCCCCTTCAGAATAAATATAAGGAAATTCTTTCCAACAGTTATAAGGTGCTACAATTGGAATGATATTCCTATATCTATACAAGAGAAGCCCACTAAAAAACTTTTTAAAAGAGCACTTTTCTCAGTACTGATTAATGTCTTCCTCTGACCATGTTTTATTAACATATTTGTTGTTTAAGGTGCAATTCCTATTCCCTCTCTTATATTTGTATCTTATATTTGTATCTCATATCTTATTGTATCACTTCTTTTTACTGTATGAAAAAGTGTGATTTAAGTTAAAGGGCATCTAATTAGCTTGCTATATTATGCCCTTCTCCATCCTCTTATCTTACTTGTAATTATTCATTAGACTCTAATCAGTTGAAATGGAGGAAAAAAATAAATACCAAAAAGAAAAATACCAAATGCCATTCATGCTGATGCAGCACCACAGTTTCTATACAAACTTACCCCCTTAATTCATATGTTTCCCATACAGTTTATCAGGGCTCTTCCCCAACATGTATTATCATAATGAACCCTTTTGCTAAAATCCAAAAAATAAAAGGAATCACACCAAAACCAGTACCTTAAAACAAATCAGTTAAGTGAATATCATACAAGAGAGGTTATAATTTTAAAAAAAAAAATTTTTTTTTCATAACGTTGTCATTGATTTCCTTTGACTCCAATTAAAATGTAATTGCTGAATATGCTTCAAGAAAATGTTACTTTCCCTCTTTCAAATGTTTAGGCTTGAGATGAAACCTACAGACAAATCTAACATTGGAGAAAATTAACAATTCAAAGCCTTTCCTAGACAAAAGGTTTCTGTTGCTCTTTCCAATAAAAATGGACAATAACTGTAAACGTTTTTCGTTCAAAATTCAATTATTATATTTTCTCAAGGCGAAAAAACTTTTCAAGGGTAGAGAGAAACAACCTATTCTTTCAAGAAATTACGTGTATATGCCTAAACAGCCCAAGAAAAGTCGATTTAGCTCATGACTCAAGCTCGTGGACCAAAGTCACGCGGAACGTGGTTTAAATCAAAAGATATAAAATATTTAGATGTACGTGTTTCTTTATAAACCCTAGCCGCTCACTGATCGCTTTATATACAAAGTTCTTTAGATGCTTATTTTCACTGGATTCAAATCAAAACATAACGCAAGAACAACCGTTGTTCGAGATGTGTTACAAATATTTCTGCTTGGTCACTTTCTTTTCTTACATACAAACGAGTAAAATTAAAATTGATTCAAGTTTTCATGATCAGATCCGTAGTAATCTGAACGTATCCGCATTGACTTCAACCAGATTTATTCCTGGCAGCCTACGATTTAAGGCCAAAATAGTAAATTGTCTGTAATTAGAAAATGCTGGAATCTGGGATTCGTACCTTTTGAAAATAAAACTGATGATCTAATAAGGAACGAAAATTTACATACAACATTCGTATACGAAACAGGTGAGCACTGTGACACGACATCAACATTGCCAGAAAAGTAAAGAGACGGGAGAATTTTTAACCGTAGACAGCCAAAATGTGACCTTCGAAAGCTATATGTGAAATAACCGTGAGATGTGTTACTTACCTCGTGACAAGTCATGAGAGGAAACCTTCACGAATTATTTTCATATACAAAAATCGAGACGATCTTCAATTCATCACCAAACAATAACGAACAAATATGGCCGCCAAATGCGTACGCATCGAGAAATGCACTTTTTGTTCGTATGGCATGATGGGAGTGGATCGTGGCAACCCAATGAACCGTCGGGAGACTGGAGCTTAGCTTACACCGATTAAGGGAAGGAATGGGCATGGAACACATATCTTTTTTGACGTGAAAATCTGAGAGGGTGGAGGAGTGTTAATAGGGATAATGGCCTTACTTGGGGTTGGGGGATCGGGTGGGGAAGGGAGGAATCAAAACGATTTTGCAACCAAACAAAATAATCTCTTTTCCCGTGCTAAGGGGCTCACTGCGCCGGAGCTTGTCTCAGTTTTATAACACAGATAAAGCGACCAGGGGAGAATACTAGGTTCGTCGCAGGTGGTTAATCCCGTGTAATTCAACAGTTACTACAAACTTTCAGGTCTTAAATCTCATTCGTCTCTCATAGCGCTTGTATATCCAATTCAAACGTCTTCTACGGAGACTGGCGATACTCATTCCCACTCCTTAGCTGACACCATGAAAGGGAAGCATCTCGCCCAACAGAGCTAAAGAAAGTCTGTGCATGTCTTCAATTCGCTTGTGAATCCATAGCAACAGTAATCTCGTACCTAAATCCTACCGTGAAACTGAAATGTAAGTTCCTTACAACCGCTTGGCCGTGGAAGCTCTGGGTACGAGATAAAAAAGTGAACGTCCTATGTCTTTCGACCGCCTTTTTGCAAACTTAAACAGACAACAAATTAATCATAACAAGTTAACAAAAAATAACTTTGTTTCCCTTTAGAGATCGGTCATTATGAAAATTTGCTCCTAAGAGAAGGAATAGTAAATCTAGAAATGGACAACTCGCTAAAATGGCCTCGTTTCAACTAAGAGGTCAGACATGAAGCGATGCTCTGTGAAAGTAAGGTGAGGTGTTTCTATTGAGAATTTGACGATATTTTTTTTTCTTCCTAAGGGCGGTTGTAAATATTCCCGTACAAACTCTTATATTTTCGCCATGACTCTTATTTTGCAAAATGATAATCTCACAGCTGGAGCTTGGGCTGCCTGTGATTTGATTCCATTTCAGTCCCGGCAGCATTTATTATCAGCTGATACGAACTCGGTTTACTCGATCTCCCAGTGAACTCGAATTTCCCTTTTTTCAAATTTATAATGGTAATTGAACTGAGTGGAGTGCAGTTTGGGCTGAAATCCCAAATATGAGTTCAGATCAAAATTGCATGACACGAGGTTCAATTACCACTTTATTATATCCATTTCGAAATCGCCTAAATACAAGACTTGGTCAGTTCAAATATTTTATTGATGCATTACTAAGCCAGTTTGAAATTAAATTCATCCATTTTTTGGGGGGGGAGGGGAAATATAAGAGTTTTGGAAACAAAAGTTGCAAAATTGCCACATGATACTCTTTCTCTTTCATTCTCCTGCAATTTAATTGATTACTTTAAACAAGCTCTGAAATCTGATTGGTCGTTTTGTTTTAAGTGTAGCCTCCTCATTGGCTGGGAAAAAGATGTGATTTAAAGCAAAAAATGATGCGATTCGTGAATAAATCGCATCAATTAGAGCCAATCAGATTGCACAGATCACCAGTGATTTCAAAACGGGTGGAATTAACCCTGATAACTCGGGCTTTAAATAAAACATCGATCGATAAACATCAAACTGCCAGAGGACTTTATAGCATAGCTAAATGACACGTCCCTACCCTTCTTCACGACCGATATGAGCGTGATAACATTTATCAAAACGTAATACATTTACTGACTTCCAAAACTGAAAATTCTTATTACAAAAAACCATCATAAAACAAACGAAATGCACGATAATGATATTGGTTTGTGCAAGACTGGTAAAAATGATTCCTTATTAATTAGTTACTAACACGATTATAAAAATTCAAGACCCAATCGCGATATTAAACTCAAATCATATTTCGTTTCCTATGGGATCTCGAATTATCTGGGTTCTATCATGTTCTTAAGAACCTCAGTGTGTTACGGTTTATGTAGAGTTTCTTAGTTGGTTTCAAACTTACACAAATGTCTTTAAAAACTCAATAATCAGTATCATATTTAAGCAGACTCACTGTTTGTCTTAAAGGTGAAGTGTTTTCTTATCCTTGGCAGATTGTGATAAACTTTAATCTTTTTCCGTGCTCAAAGCCACATACGAGCAATTTCTGGCAATTTGGGTGGGAATTTGTTCCGGACTTTCAGACCAGCAAGTTCAGTCCTCTCGTCAACCTTTGCCGCTTTCAGTTCTACCTACGCTGCCCTCACCTATATTGCAACGTCAAGTTTTCAGTCCAATTAGCATTTGGGCGTGTGCGAACCTATAAAAGTGTATAGAGATGAGAACTCTATTATGAAAATATCACTCACTCACTCACTAAGAAAAACACAGGTTTCGAAAATCATTGTAAATCAAAAAATAGATTTCGAAATATTAACTGAAATTCAATTTGCATGGTAATTTTGACCTCGATAAGGCGACATAATTAAAGAGATTTTTTCATAGAATCTCAAGATACTTCCAAAAGCAGATCTTCAAGAATATACGGCACATGAGAAGCAACACAGCTCAGTGATAAACTAAACATAACCAAGATGAACAGAACATGAAACTATTTGTTTTGTTTAATAAATAGGCGTTGCCTCGTGTTGACAGATTTATTCGATGACAAGAATCGTGATTGACATTAATTCAATAGATTGATTTAAAAGCGTTAGATTATTATGTTTTAAGTCAGTTTTCAGCAGAATCGAAGTGAGAAAGAAGTTATTTTGTTATCGTTTTTCTGTCTCTAAATCCGCTTACCTGGAGAATCTGCTAACCCGTAAAGTGAGACTGTTGTAACGACCCGCCACAGAAGTAAGTTTATATTGAAGTTTTTTAATTTAGTTACAAGATAAAGACTTGATTTGCGTTTGTTCTAATTGCGAATTATAAATGTATTTCTTTTAGATCAAATAATTATTAAAGCTTGGCTTAATATTATACGGTTTGTGGTGGTCCTTGATCTAACCAGTTCCGAGTAAGGAAACACTATTTCTTTGAACTTTCATAGAGTTTGAGCTCAAGTCATGGTGAACAATCTTGTTTAAATCTTTCAAAAAAAACTCAACCCAATGATATTGCGAAATACTCTAAATTTAGACTTGTTTGGGATAGGAATTGAACTTTAATTCAAGGAATGTGAGTTTTTTGGCCTATGCGTTATAAGAAAAGGAGCGGGAAAAAACACGTTTTAACTAAAAAATGACACAAATAGTTAAATGCGAACCTTTCATATCCCGATAAATCTCGACTTTAATGAACGAGGCTCTCGCGAAGGCCACAAACCATTACACTTATCAAATGAGCTAAAAAGTTCTGGTTTATTTCATTCTTTGTGCACGGCCCTCTGATTGTCAGACTGATAATGACTGAGGTTAGTATCATTACCCCAAGCCACTTCATGTGCCAAACGGCTGATGAACTCTTTAGTTCCCATCAGAGCTTTCCCAGTGATTTCGTAAGCCATCCATGGCTTCTTTTTTTTTTTATTTCATCCTTTTTAAGCCGGTTTTTTGGTAAACGATGCTTCAACAAACCTCTTTTTGAAGACCTCTATAAATACGTATTTAACACAGGTCTCATTCCTTGTGGATAATCAAAAAGACAAAAATTAATTGAGGTTCTCTCAACCTGGCAAACGAGCATGTTCTGAGACTAATAAATTCCTTTGATGTTTGCTTTTAAACCAGACTATGTAATTGTCACACTTTGTTAAGAAGCCTAACAGTGTGTAGTTGTAAACAAAATTAAGTGTGAATATAAGCCTTTCATGTGAGTTAGTTTTGAATGACAACTAGATGTGAATTGTAACAAGATTATTCGTTCTCGATTTCTATGCATGACAGCTGATTTTGGCTTTTCCGCTTTTTTAAAGGTAAGGTAAATCTTAAAATTTACAGAGTAAATGATTTAGAGCTAATTTTTTTACATAAATAATAGAGCCCCTAAAATTGTATTAATGTTTTGTATATTTAATAGCGGAGCTCAAAGCGTGCGTGTAGCTCCATACAGAAAGAAAAATTGAAAATTAGCAATCAACCTTGGAAAATTTGGCAGCGCACGACTGCATGAACAAGATTTTTAATTTTAGCATGCGCACTACACCACCTTCACATTTACACAACCTTGCTCATGGTCATCGACGTTCCAGCACAGCGCGTGCGCAAGACTTGCATGAATCTTGGGAGCACTCTGCTTCGTTAAGTATGGGTGGTCAGCTGCATTGCAGGCGTATCCACGTCACCGCGTGCTGAAGCACAACGCATGCGTAATGCGCAGAGCCGAAATGTCTCTGGGTTCGAGGTTTGTTTGGCGCAAATCACCCTTCTGGGATCTGCACTTTAGGGTAGAGTACTTCTGAAAAGATGGTGCATAGAGTACCAATTTCCATCGAAAGTGACAAAAGCACCTTTTTGGTCAAAAGCAATGTAGAAAGAAGAGAGCTGGTGTGGAAAACATTCATTCGGAACACTTTTAGACTAAAAGAAAGATTCATGGGCAAAGTTTGAAAGAAATCGCTGTTCTGAACCGAAATGCTCCAGACAACGTCAAGCTAGAGAGACTGCGTCCAGGAACCTTACTGGGCAGTGTGGAAGCGCATTAAAATTGCTCAGTCCTAAATTTTCTGCAGCAAACAGTATATGACAGCCTCTCAGTGTTGTTTTAGAAACTAACAAATTGTTCTCACTCGACAAATCAACAATGCCAGAAGTTTCTTAACTGACGGTATTTTTCAGCGATCATAAAACACCCAAAACTAAACTAAGTAATTCAAATGGCGCGTCTCAGTCCCTTCTTTTATATTTTTCTGCGAATTTTAATTTACCGTTCGAAACACAGAAGAAGAGTTGTGGGCTTGTTTTATAGTAAAAGAGATACAAAAATGAGAAAGCAAAGGAAGCCCAGGCATTGAAGAGTTGCTTTTGGTCAGCCTCGTTTCCATGTGGGGGGG